GAGTCACGATTCCTATCGACGACATGGCCGTAAGGTACGAGATCGATCTCGCGTCGAATAGAGACTCTTTCACCCGCGAGGATTTTCATGAAAATCTTGCCATCAATTGACCAGGTTTGCAATATTTTCTTGGTTTTCACTAAATTCCTTGCGTGGTAAGAGATGGAGTTTCTAATCTTGGTTAGATCCTCGTTAACCATTATGTGCTTATAACTTGGGATTTCTTTAAAGTGTTTCCTTGCCATCATGAGATTGCGTTTCGCTTCTCGACTAGATAACCTAGCAATGATCTGTCGTGGTTTATTACTCCTTCTGGGGCCAACACGGTGAGACCTTACAATGTCCTCTGGTCTGAGAACTACCCCTGGGAGTTTGGTAACCGCATCGAGGATCATTTCCGTTGTATTCTCGACACCATTGGACTCCTCGAATCCAGAGAATCTGACACATTCCCGGCGGCTGTATTGCTCGAGATCATCTAATTTATATTTAAGATCGTCATTTTCAGTTTTGAGTGCATTTATTTCAGCTTTAAGAGGCACGATTTCATTATTCACGATACCCTGTATATCATATTTCGGACGCTGAGGGCAATGCGCTGGATGTCAAGGTCAGACAGACTGCATGAGGGAGGCTGAGTGCCGGGGGTTGAAGTCATATGAGGTTGGGCAAGACCTTGAGAGAGGGGCAACATTGGCGATCCTTGGAAGCTGAGTTGCTGAGGAATATAGTTCATAGCCATGATTGGATTATGGTGTTTACAGTCCGTAGATAGATAGCTTCCGTTCAGTATAGTGTCACAATGAGATAAAGAATTATCGAGCTTATTTTTTTGGGTGATCTCGACTTTAACGACGACGTGGATTGGTGTGAGCGTTCTCTTTTACCAGTGTTAATTATAATGCTCATATTACATAGATAGTACACAAATGGTTACGTACACATTCACTAGATTACACAGTACGCGCACTTGGTGAACCAGAGCACAGGTGAGTTGTTTATCGATCTATTAATAGGCTTCCGAAATCGAACGTACAGGTATTGTGGACATAACTGAAAGTCAATGAACTGTGACCTGAGAGCCGGTATACAAAATCTTGTAGTGACTTATATTATTAAATACAGACATTTTTACCAACTTTCCTCCGTCAGGAAGCTCCCTCTGTGCTCGATATTTCATCCATTGATAAACAATTTAGAATTACGATCGTTACTAACTTAGATAGAAATTGAGAGATATTCCTCAAGTGGCAGCTGTTCCTGCAAAACTGTACATTGTTTTCTAAAGGACAGTGGCAATATTTATACGTACCAAACGAGAAAATGTCTAACAGTATATACACGAGAGAGAACAAGGCGGAACCACATAAAATTACTTGAAGTTGCCCCCCACCCCACCACACCCTCCACCCCACCACACCCTCCACCCCCTACCCCTCAATCTCCATCAAGTCAGTTAATTCTTCAGATAATTTCCTATACTGCCCAGAAATGTTTATAGATTCTTGTGATACAGATGTTTCGCTACGTCTAATGATAGTGAAATAACGGGTAAAAACTACGGTGATATTATCATCAGCCTGGCATACCTTTTTACGTTTTAACCAATAAGAACGTTGCTTTCTACTTATTGCAATGAAACATTACCGATTTAACTGTTCGGAAGCAAATGTGTGAACGTGTTTTACGAAATTTTTGCTGTGTATACTTCAGGCTTTCTTCTTGTTTGATAACACTTATCTTTATAACAGAGAACAACGCAAAACATTAGAATTAGAATACTTGTATGTAAAAAGCTACATGTAATCCAAAATGATGCTGTCTGGCTGTTGTAACTCATAGATATCCGATGTCAAAGAATAAGCTAATTTTTGGACAAAGATCTACAAGATAATTTATATTGGGCCATATTTTTCTTTACAGATTACTCTTGAAAGATACAATTTAGTCAGCCAAATCCAGTATAATTGATCAATTGAAAACTTGAAGACGACGTCCGAAGTTTTAATCAAGGAGAGATCCTGTTATAGACTTTACCTAGAATGCATAAAATAGAAACTTCTGGTTAACCATCAACCACTGCCCCCTTTCCCACCCCTTCATGAAAAATATGTATCATTGTCCTCTACATTTATCTAATATTTTTTTTATTCTACAAACGGACGCACCTGTGACCAAGCACCATGCAACATATACCATCATCTTTAAATTGAATATGTACGTTTTTTTGATAACCAATACAAATTTCGTCACCTCCAAAACCTTACTTACATCAAACAAAGCAAATAAACACACATAGAATACACATCAGGTGCAATTGTGCCTGCATATGGTTAGTGACAATAAGCATTTGGGGAAATGCATGACTATTCCGGTTATATCAAAATAAGATCGATTTTCTAAGTACTCTAGATACTCAATAATGTACGATATCTAATTTGCAGATATGCTATATAGATCTAGCTAGATCGATTTACAAATGTCCTGGTTGCATCACAAAACGACAAATATGGCGACTTATTGGATTCAGCCATTACATTTCCCTGTCTATTTGTTGTAAGTATACATATACATTAGCATATTTTGTCTATATAAATCAAATAGAAGAAACCGGTATATTTCAAGTTGTTACAACTGTTTAAATCGAACATCGTTCAGTTAACGATTTTGCCACCAAGATATCGGCAACTGACTAACACCCAACTCATGGTCTGGAGAGATGCAGGTTGATGGACATTATGGTCGTTATAATAATCTTATTGAGAAATACCGTTTCTTTGTGTAACGTAGACTGGCCTCAGTCTCTAGAATATTTAATTATGAGCAAATTGAATCTCGTAATTCTGATTTCATGGAGATGTATGGTTCCAGACCTAATTTTCACAGGAAAGGGAGATTAGCAAATAAAAATGTAGCTATTTCTTAACGAAACTTTGGGGATTGTAGCCAATCTTAAAAAATAAGAAATCGAGCGTGTTTGATGCTCGTTAATACTGTCTGGCTGTTCCATTGTTGTTTAACCTTGCTTTCATTCGAGAACGTGATATTACGTGTTTGGTGTAAGATTTAAATGGAGAAAGTTGATAAAGCAACAGCCTCTTTCCGTTACGGAACAAGTAGTCTTGTCATCAATGTGTCATTTGCAGGAGTCTGCGTGTAAGTTTTCGTTCGTTCAGTATTTGTCCATAGCTTCATCTATTTTGCATTTGAATTAAGATTTAGATGACAAAATCGGAATTTTCGTTTTCAAAATCACTCCATATATTAAAGCGGTCTAATTGTGAATGGGCTAGGGGTATCTCCGTCAGTGAATGTGGGCTTGTCCGTAATCCTTTTTAAAAGTAAAATGAACATTATAGATGGATGCATTACATATATTAAGTGTTCAAGTTCTCATTTCATATGAGAGTTAATGCAATTAATTTTTGCATTTGAGCGGTCATTCATCAATTCTTCGATAAGATTCTACCCATATAACATAAGAAATGATAACATACCAATGTCCTTTTCATTACATAACACACAATAATATGTTTCCAGCTGACTTTCAAGATATCTAACCGTCTCTGGTTCCATATAATTATCCCCAAACCACTGTGTTCCTATTGCCTCGAATGTTTTTCTTACTCTTCCCAGACCACACAATAATTAACTACGTTGCATAAAAACCATCCAAAATCCATGTTTTATAAATATATCCTCTCATAATGTTAACAACAACAGGTTCTTTTGATTGAGCTATCTACAAATGATATTACCAGTTATGACAGTACTGTAATAAGAACACCTTACTCAGATATAATGGTTCTTTTATCTTCGTTATTTCATGTCGTTCGCGTGAAATCAAAATTTCTCGACATGTCAGACAGGATAATTTGTCAACACTATTCTAAGAATGACTGCATTTTGATAATAACAAAATATGTTTCATATCACTATATATATCTTGTACAATCACTAATTTTCGGGCATTTATATGAAATCTTATCCATGCCGTATCATATCAAGAGTCCTGTGGCTTATAGTTTAGGATTTTGCATTTGAGTCCATGTTGTGCAAAAAATAAACGTAAGTCATAAAAATATATTTATTAGAATTAAGCTAGTGTCTGACGACCTTATTTTGGAACAAATGTGATGAGTTTCTTAAATCATTTGTAATGGAAACCAATTGATTAAAATCCTGTTTATCGCATCATTTATTTTGGTAAGTCATCTCAGCTCCATATGCACGTTCACTTTCCGATATGCTATCTTTCATTAACTGGAATGAAAATAGTTCAACATCCTAAAGAGATTGACTCTATGTACTGCTATTTTCAATACACTAGTTAGATTTGTACGACAACTCCGCAGCTAACAGGAAAATGAGATTTATGATATAATGAGTGCCATCTAGTACGTGATCATTACAACGTCATTGTATTGGGCATAGAAAAGTCGACGGTTCCCCATCGAAATAACAGTGTCATTTAAGAGACTGAACTACCGATATTGAATAATTCATTTTAGTTCGAATCAAGTTAAATTTGGAATACTGGGGTAAAATTATGGGAAATATCAATACAGCCATTGAACAGTCTTCTTTGCGGCATTTATGGTGGACATAATATCACTGTGCTACTACGCAGTACGTTTGCCTGCCAAACTCTGTCATTTAGTACAGCCATAACCACCCCAACCCCCTTGCTTCCTCGATATATTCAGAACTTCCGATCATTATCGCTCTCTGCATACCCCGAAAACATCAATGCAAAAAATTAAATGGGCTATGTACGACACCTTGTGGAGAAAACGTGAAGGCTAGTTTGATCCTTTGATGTACATCTAACGAATCTGTAGGTCGCGTAACGGTATAAGGTAATTTTACTATTATATGTCCCTGAGATGCAGAGAGCAAACGTGATCACCCCTTGATACTAGAAACCACAGGGAGAATGGTTTGTGAAGATGTTCTTGTTTCTTCTATCAATGTCAAAATAAAAGACAAGAAATTGTACAAAATGTAAGAAGAAATATATTATATTGTCAACAATTTATGTAAATAAACATATATAAAATACAATAAAAAATGTAAGTTACCATATCTTATCATAAAACATGGTTGTATTTGGTTTTCACCGGACAATCAGTCAATGCTTCGATTATTTGTCTTGGCGTCTTTTGTTAGAGTAGTACGGATACCCGAGAATGAATTTGGCGCGTTCTATTTGTCAACGTCAATGATGATAGGTATGTAAAGTTTGAAAACCAATTACTTCAGGTTCGGAGACACCATTTTGTCCATCTATTGCAAACTGGATGCGGTTGTCAGCAGAAGAGATTGTTTCGCCTTAGATGTTACATGATAATTTATCCGGATTTGAAGAGCAGAATGGCGACCTGTCCGAGGTAGAAGTAAATGAAATGCTTGGTTTCGTGTGTTACATAGCTCCCGAAGTTGCGTCCAACAATGCAATGCCAGGTTGGGTTGTACTTTTTGTCAAACTCTTTCTTGATGTAGGCAGCAATGTCCTTCTCGATGTTGTACTTTTCTAGAGCTTGTGTTGCGCAGTCAACAGAATCTTGCTGCATGTCTTCAGGCATGTCGGCATTCTTGATGACGGCTTTCCTATCACTCATGATTTCTGAAACAACAGAGAGTGAGACCCGTTAGAAATGAGTATATGATATACACGCACAGCCGAAGATTCAATACTTAACAGGACTCATAAACGTTTCTTTACAAAGCTGTGGACTATTTTTCAACAAAGGCGGAAACCATGAATTTGACCTTGCATTAATCTGAAGCTCTGTATTATGGCCATGTTGTTAAAGAATCAATTGAATAATCTATACATCCGAAACTTGTATGAACATGTTTTGTATACAAGATATCCTAATTGTCACATTTTCTTAATAAGAACATAAGAAGAGTATCGTACATTTCTGTATCATAACGATATGCTCATTTATCAGACACTTGAATAGGATTAATGGGATACATGGTAAAAGTATACTTTGTTTTCTTATTGTTAGTGCAGTCTTGATGCATGTCTTCAGTCATATTGGCATTTCTTGAAAAATTCGGTACCCCTGGCAACGGTACCCATCGTCATAATAAGCTTTTACATGGATCTAGAATACTATCTCACAGAGATTAATGGTCGCGATATCAAAATAAGGCAAACATCAATAACTTGTCAAAATTTCCTCAGTACACAATTAGATTCCTAGATTCAAATATATCATGCACAATATCTAAAAAGAATTCCCGTATTGACCCAGCTCCGCGGCGCGTTTGTATACTACAGTGTCCCCGGTACGCAAGTATCATGGGTTAGGCATAACATGTGGCCCCTACTACTATCATGAACATGACCGAGCTGAATAAGAAAACGAGAAGTTAGTTTAACAGCAGGAATGAAAACTAATTTAAAGAGTAACATATTCGTATTTACCTGTTGTTGTGTTCTTCTAGGCGGTCGACTAGTTTGGCCGGTGTTTGGTTTTAGAATAATGTTCAGGATAACGGTAGCAACAGACATCTATGGACGCTGTATGCAGAGTTCCCATTGGTTAGATAAAATTTTGTATCGCTATTTGATTGGTAGTATTTCGGGTATATATCCAAAGTCGTATATCGACCCACAAGCCTCCACTCACTCGATAGCAGACGACGCCTCTTCAAACAGTCCGGACATCGAACTGTAATTTTAGTAATACTACAAGTCCAACAGTTTATATATATATGTGGTATAATCACATATACGCACGAGACTGATTTTTCACAAACTCGATATTTCATCCATTGATAAACAATTTAGAATTACGATCGTTACTAACTTAGATAGAAATTGAGAGATATTCCTCAAGTGGCAGCTGTTCCTGCAAAACTGAAAACTGTACATTGTTTTCTAAGGGATGACAGTGGCAATATTTAGACGTACCAAACGAGAAAATGTCTAACAGTATATACACGAGAGAGAACAAGGCGGAACCACATAAAATTACTTGAAGTTGCCCCCCACCCCACCACACCCTCCACCCTACACCCCCACCCCTCAATCTCCATCAAGTCAGTTAATTCTTCAGATAATTTCCTATACTGCCCAGAAATGTTTATAGATTCTTGTGATAAGATGTGATACGTCTAATGATAGTGAAATATAACGGATAAAAACTGCGGTGATATTATCATCAGCCTGGCATACCTTTTTACGTTTTAACCAATAAGAACGGTGCTTTCTACTTATTGCGATGAAACATTACCGATTTAACTGTTCGGAAGCAAATGTGTGAACGTGTTTTACGAAATTTTTGCTGTGTATACTTCAGGCTTTCTTCTTGTTTGATAACACTTATCTTTATAACAGAGAACAACGCAAAACATTAGAATTAGAATACTTGTATGTAACAGCTACAGGTAATCCAAAATGATGCTGTCTGGCTGTTGTAACTCATAGATATCCGATGTCAAAGAATAAGCTAATTTTTGGACAAAGATCTACAAGATAATTTATATTGGGCCATATTTTTCTTTACAGATTACTTTTGAAAGATACAATTTAGTCAGCCAAATCCAGTATAATTGATCAATTGAAAACTTGAAGACGACATCCGAAGTTTTAATCAAGTAGAGATCCTGATATAGACTTTACCTAGAATGCATAAAATAGAAACTTCTGGTTAACCATCAACCACTGCCCCCTTTCCCACCCCTTCATGAAAAATATGTATCATTGTCCTCTACATTTATCTAATATTTTTTTTTATTCTACAAACGGACGCACCTGTGACCAAGCACCATGCAACATATACCATCATCTTTAAACTGAATATGTACGTTTTTTGATAACCAATACAAATTTCGTCACCTCCAAAAACTTACTTACATCAAACAAAGCAAATAAATACACATAGAATACACATCAGGTGCAATTGTGCCTGCATATGGTTAGTGACAATAAGCATTTGGGGAAATGCATGACTATTCCGGTTATATCAAAATAAGATCGATTTTCTAAGTACTCTAGATACTCAATAATGTACGATATCTAATTTGCAGATATGCTATATAGATCTAGCTAGATCGATTTACAAATGTCCTGGTTGCATCACAAAACGACAAATATGGCGACTTATTGGATTCATCCCTTACATTTCCCTGTCTATTTGTTGTAAGTATACACATACATTAGCATATTTTGTCTATATAAATCAGATAGAAGAAACTGGTATATTTCAAGTTGTTACAACTGTTTAAATCGAACATCGTTCAGTTAACGATTTTGTCACCAAGATATCGGCAACTGACTAACACCCAACTCATGGTCTGGAGAGATGCAGGTTGATGGACATTATGGTCGTTATAATAATCTTATTGAGAAATACCGTTTCTTTGTGTAGCGTAGACTGGCCTCAGTCTCTAGAATATTTAATTATGAGCAAATTGAATCTCGTAATTCTGATTCGTGGAGATGTATGATTCCAGACCTAATTTTCACAGGAAAGGGAGATTAGCAAATAAAAATGTAGCTATTTCTTAACGAAACTTGGGGGCTTGTAGCCAGTCTAAAAAATAGGAAATCGAGCGTGTTTGATGCTCGTTAATACTGTCTGTCTGTCCCGTTGTTGTTTAACCTTGCTTTCATTCGAGAACGTGATATTACGTGTTTGGTGTAAGATTTAAATGGAGAAAGTTGATAAAGCAACAGCCTCTCTCCGTTACGGAACAAGTAGTCTTGTTATCAATGTGTCATTTGCAGGAGTCCACGTGTAAGTTTTCATTCGTTCAGTATTTGTCCATGTTTCATCTATTTTGCATTTGAATTAAGATTTAGATGACAAAATCGGAATTTTCGTTTTCAAAATCACTTCATATGTTAAAGCGGTCTAATTGTGAATGGGCTAGGGGTATCTCCGTCAGTGAATGTGGGCTTGTCCGTAATCCTTTTTAAAAGTAAAATGAACATTATAGATGCATGCATTACATATATTAAGTGTTCAAGTTCTCATTTCATATGAGAGTTAATGAAATTAATTTTTGCATTTGCGCGGTCATTCATAAATTCTTCAATAAGATTCTACCCATATAACATAAGAAATGAAAACATACCAATGTCCTTTTCATTACATAACACAGAAACCTTGTTTTTATAGGATTTAAATTTTAAAAAAAAATACATGACAAAAACGGGGATAGCCGTATTGAATTCATGCGGTAACGCTATTGTTCATGCTATGACATCACCACATATTTCCGTCCTTTCATACGCTCCAGGGTATACCACACTTGTGATATCACTAGAGCCAATTCACTGGATAACAGACGAGTATATGGTAAGTATATATACGCATTCAGAATCCAGGTTAGTAATGGCAGAGACGTATATAACACATATATATACGTCTCTGGTAATGGGAATGAAATTCAATCATAATTTCTCTTAATTCAGTATTTTGCTTACAGATTGATAGTAAAAGTTTCATTATTTACACTGCTAAACAGAACCCAATAATGCACGTATATTGCTATAAGCCGTAAAACGTAATCAATGTTTGATAAATGACAAACACAATTTCTGATTTGATCGCAATATTTTTATTCTAATGCCTATGTTGTGTAAGATCGTTCATATCAAATAACACTATAAATCAGTAACCTGGATCTGTGTAAACATGTATATTTAACAAAATGCAAGTAAACAATAGAAACATATTCCTATAATATAAATAGCAAGGAACAACACTGCAGTCTTTGGTCTTCCAGTGGTCAGATATTTCGGTGGTGGCAGTCTACTGACATCTGTCTTGTACTGCGTATTTACCACTTTTGCCAAAAACTCCTCCAATGAATGTTGATTGAAAGCATATAAGATGGCGAAGCTTATCCGGATTTGAAGAGCAGAATGGCGACCTGTCCGAGGTAGAAGTAAATGAAATGCTTGGTTTCGTGTGTTACATAGCTCCCGAAGTTGCGTCCAACAATGCAATGCCAGGTTGGGTTGTACTTTTTGTCAAACTCTTTCTTGATGTAGGCAGCAATGTCCTTCTCGATGTTGTACTTTTCTAGAGCTTGTGTTGCGCAGTCAACAGAGTCCTGCTGCATGTCTTCAGCCATGTCGGCATTCTTGATGACGGCTTTCCTATCACTCATGATTTCTGAAACAACAAAGTTAGAAATGAGTATATTATATACATGTACAGCCGATGATCCGCTACTTAACAGGACTCGTAACCGATTCCTTACCGAAGCTGGGACTATTCTACAAAAGCATGGTTACAAAAAGTCACGAATTTGATCTTGAACTAACCTGAAGCTCCGTAATATGACCACGTTGTTAGAGAATCAATTGAATCATTTATACATCCCCATCTTGTATGAACATGTCTAGTATAAACAATATCCTAATTATCACATTGTCTTAACAAGAACATAATAGTATCTTACAGTTCTGTATCATAACGATATGCTCGTTTATCTTGAATGGGTTAAAGACAGGGCAAATATATACCATGATCTCTTATTGTTAGCTAATTCAATCTTGATTCCGGTCCCCTGTGTTACCCCTGGCAACGGAATGGGATTAGACAGGATAAATGTATACCACGCTATCCCTTTTTCCGTGGTTGCTATGGGCAACAGTATATATATATTTTAATCCCCCGTATACAAATCTTGATGAAGGTCATATGATCAATTAAAATATATTTCGATAGCGACCAAAATGCAGAATTGTCAAAGAATGTTTTGACATGTGTGAAAATAAACATTCGACACGGAAAACATTTAAGCACTACCAAACGTAATATATCTATTCAAATTAGAATAAAAATTGTCTTAAACGTGCAGATATTTAATCTGGATGTAACACAATGTCACACAAATTACGTAATAAGATTCTATAGATTAATTCTAAAAGAACCTAATGCCCTATGACCTTTCTTATCTCAGTGTCATGCTACCATCTTTTTTGTCATTTAAAAAATACAGAACATTTTCTGTTTTACTTCATTTAAGTTGATTAATTTATTCAAATAAGTATTAAAACACAACGCAAAAAATAAATACATCAACTGCGACTCTCTTCCAAAATGTAAATATTTTCTGCGGTAACAAGCATAGCTACATGTGGCGGGCGACATTTCATCACATGTATTTTGACCTATTTAAACAACATGGGACCATCACCATAATTCACATATATATATTTAACTGCATATTTAAGATATATAATAGATAATCAATCCACACATACCTGTATTTTTCTTGTTTTCCTAAAAATAAACCACCTCGCTTCGTCTCACAGATATTTGTGGATTATGTCTATGAGAGGTAAGGAGAGTTGGTAGCAACCGACATACACATGGACACAGTATACGACGTTTTCATTGGGCATAGTGTGTTTTTTTATTGGCAGCATTACTGGCACATAGCAGTGTCGTATATCGACCCATAATCCTTTACTTCATTCGTAGCAGACGATATTACCTGAGCGAGCAGTGTTACTTCGATCTAGCGTACCGTATTTTATAGGGAATGAATCACTTGTGCAATGTTACCTGTTATGTGAATATATTTTATTTCAACGTTATCTATGGCACAAGGAAACACATTTTTGTAATAAATAGCAAAGATATATTTTCAAATATGTTACACATCAATGGATGTTGTTTAAGGTCGATATTCTAATGCGTGAATATGCGCCTTGGCATTTAGAATCGTTACTTAAATTATTTTTATTACATAGTTATACACAAGTGCATTCATATGCCGTAACATCAACTTCATTAACATTAATTATCATTAATTTCATTAACTTCATCTAAAATGTGTTTCGTAACATTTGAATCAGTACCAGTAGACGACTTATCTCGGAGTGTGACGTGCAATTGTTTTCTTTGCGATAACTTCTACGCACAGTGTCCAGAGTGCAAAACGTACCTAGATTTGTGTAAAAGAGTTTTGATATTTCAATCATCATCTTACATACAACAACTTGAGGTGTTTATTTTGTCCGCTATAAAGGGCCTTCGGCGTCTATCGGCCGAATAGATTATCGAGACACCTAAATTTACATAACCGCTCTTAGATTTTTAACTTTGTATTTGTTTTATGTTCTATGTATGTAATGTAATTTACGTAATATTGATGTCTTGATGTTTTTGGGTTAGTGCACCTCCCTATATAATTTTTGACATTTACGATTAATTTCGGTGTTCTTCAATTCTCTTATATATTTCTAAAAACTACAAAAATGAGTAAATAAATCAAATCATTTTTTTCCATCACGAGTTTTGTTATGAGCGATAATTATACGACCAATTAAAGTTTATCATCATTTCAGTTTTTATCCACAGTAAGCTTATATAAATCCAAAAATCCACAAATCAGTAGTCTTTGGTAATGCAATATTCAATATATTCAATAAAACTTACTTTTCTGAATATCTCGCAACCACCATTGGGAAATACGAATTCTTCTAAAACACATGGTTGACTTGTTTCTTATATCTTTTTACTTTGTTTTCCTGTTTGTCTTATAAGCTTCCTATTTCATGGTAAAGTAACTATCTTATTGATTAAAGTTTTGTTTAGATTTGTCTAATTTCATGAACTACAACTACAATTAGGCGGGAATGTATAAATGTCTGGATAAGTGTAAGTGTTGCATGTCAAAGTTCGTCTACCCACTCAAACCTTGGCTATAGTGGCATATGCTTCAAATAGATAAAATATTATTCACTTATTCTCTAAATCTCATTTACATTTTATTTGATTTATATATTTCATGAAACATCAAAATGCCATAAATACTTCATTGTTTTGACTGGTGTTAAAACGTGTTAAAAGCAGAGGAATGTCTCTGATATTTCGTCTGCTTACACATAACTGTATGAATCCATCAGTCGTCAAGGGATGTTGGTTTCTATACATAGCTTGTCGTCTGCTAGAAGCTAGAGGATCATGGGATGATATACGAATCTACCAAGATGCCAACTCTTCACTAATGGATGGAAGATGACGAACCAATCAAATAATTCCCCTATGCGTCCATGAATGTAGTTTTGTAGGTTGCTGTTGCTACCAACTTTCACTTCGAAAGGCAAACTTTGAGTCGCATTGCATCCATCCACTGCGGATTCTAGAAAAAATACAGGTAAGTATTCTGTTCTGATACTTATGATGAATACATTAATACATTATTTTGCGAGCATCTGAATACTGATATGGATATATAAACACGGTGATGGATATCTGATGAGCGTAGTTCAATTTTGAAAATTAGGGATGTACAAGGAGTGTAGGAATGTGATCGCCTGATGAAGGCACGCGTTGCTCGGGGAATTAGTATTTTGTCTTAGATTTAATTTTTTTTTAAATACCATTTTGTTCTGTTTAGAATTATATATTTATTTTCTATGCATTGTATTCCGCATTTCTTTTGTTTTTATCTTCAATACAGCGACTTAATAATTCTATTTAATGTTCTCATGTGTAGCATTATATCATATATATAATAAAGACTATAATATCCGTGTTAAGGTTGGCCATACAGACTTAGATATGTTTCACTAACTTTTTTTTTGTTTTGATATTTTGCGTTTTATTAGGAACATTTTTTGCATGTGTGATATCACCTTTTACCGGTTTTGGTTCTGATTTTCAGTAACCATGGCTGACAGGAAGGCTGTCATAAAAAATGCCGACATGTCTGAAGACATGCAGCAGGACTCTGTTGACTGCGCCACACAGGCTCTAGAAAAGTACAACATTGAAAAGGACATAGCCGCCTACATCAAAAAAGAGTTTGACAAAAAATACAATCCAACCTGGCATTGCATTGTTGGACGAAACTTTGGGAGTTATGTGACACATGAAACCAAGCATTTTATTTACTTTTATCTCGGACAGGTTGCTATCCTGCTATTTAAATCTGGTTGATCTTGGAATGTGCCATCTCTAGACATATCATATATGCTGCATATAATTGCCTGCTAGATTCTTTTAAGTTTTAGTTCACCGGCGTATTTTTCATGGAAGACTGAAACGACGAATTCATGCCATACATGAATAGAGATAGTGCTACGTTATAAAAGAATACTTGGGATCAAAACGTGATTTCTGGTGTAATAATAACTTTTTATTGGAATATGTATTTTAAAAGGATCTTTGCTGTTTACTTTTTTTTGTTGTTTACATGCATGACTGTTTATTAATTAAAGTTGTTACAATATGCATTTTTACACATGTAACATTCTTGTGTTATCTTGTTTGTGTCATATAATCAGATCGACCGATCCGAATGACAGTCACAATAAACAGAAAATAATTTTCTGTTTGTTGACTTGTTTTTGTTCTCATGCGAAGTTGAAATTATTGAAAAGCTTATCACAAGTCACAAAGACCTTGCAAAGTCGTTTAATTTCAGCTGCCGTTATATTGCTCACGTCTTGACTTTAAATAACAAGACATTTATTGAATACGTACATCGTGTATATCCACCAGAAATAGAAATCAAAGATACGACAGACTCATCTACAACAGCTGCTTATCTCGATCATTTCCTACATTGAACGTAAAGATTTAAATTTCTCTATGGTGAATTTTCCATTTCTGGATAGCAATATTCATGCATCTCCAATCTATGGTAATTACATGTCACAGTCGATATTATAGGGCCTGTTCCCATTATCATGATTTTCATGCAAGAAGTCATCAACTAATTGATAAACTCGTAACACAAGGGTTCAAAAGATACAGGTTGATTACAATTAGGGGAAAGTTTTGACAATCTCGTAACACCAGGGTTCGAAAGATGCAGGTTGATGACAATTACGGGAAAGCTTAATGATCGCAATAGTGATCTCATTTTGAAATATTCTATTTCTTTGTGTGGCAGGAAGCTGGATGTATTTGGTGCTCGTTAGTGTGCCTGTTGATTTCTTTGCTTTATACCTTGTTCTCGTTTGAGAACGTGACTTTACGTACTTGGAATGACCAAGGTTTACATGGCAGGTGTCGACGATGAAGCAGAAGACGCTTACTTTTCCGGAACTCCTGGTCTTATTCTCCTTGTACTTTGCCAGGCGTATTCGTGTTAATCTTCCTTTTGGTTCATATTTTGCCCTAGTTTTATGAATTTAAGTTTGAATTATGATGTCATCGGGGTATTTTCTTGATGTTCTTTGGTGGCCTCTTGTGATCGCCTTCTGTCATCCGTCCGTTAACAGTAGTTTGTTCTAATTCCTCAACTAAACTCTGAATTTTAATGAAAGTTTGCAGAAAAATTCCAGGACTAAATATGAGTGGAAAAGAGTGAATTATGCCGTCCCCAATCCCAGGGACCAAAACGAGTAATATTGATTAAGTATTTCATTTCAATACATGTGTGGTAGAATCCAATACTATGACAGGATGAACGTTCCTTAAGGTGTTTTACCACAATTCTGAACTTAAGAGTAGCGGGATAGATCTATTTGTCACTCCAATTAGAATTAAGAAATTGTTGTACAGAAAATGAAATCTATAAATGCAATAGTTCAATGCATATATCATTCAGCTGTCAGTTTTCCTACAAGACGGCTATCTGAAATGAATATCGGAAGTCCGGTTTATCGCATGTTTGTTTGGTTTCTCTTTCCTTTTCAATGGGTAGCATTACTTCCGACGGAAACCAGTCTTCCGTGATTTCATTGAAATTTAATTAGTAACGTTAGTTGGTACCAATATCATGATCTCGGACGTGTAGCTGTTATGTATTAGTCTGGCTGTAACAAGAACTTCCATAAAAAGGCAGGTATGATCACTGAAAGGTTTTAAAAAGCACAGAAAAAGACTTATACAGCTCTTAAAAATCACAATAACTGAGCGCAGGGTACCAGAATACGTTGGAATATCAATTAAAAAAGGTAGGAGAAACGTGATACTGAAAATTAAGGAGACGTTAGGGCAAGTGGAAAACGAAGTGATTTCATCTAATGGCATATGGAACAAACATCAGAAAGAGGTTTAGGGGCAAACAGAGGGACATCCTTGCTGCAAGAGAGAAAACATCTAATCAGAATGGAAAGATTTTGTAAAGAAACGGATGAATCAAGATCGACCAAAAAAGATGTTTCATGAAAAAAAAACACACATAACAAGTTGCTCATATGATCAGCATCGCTTCCGTGGATATTTCAGCAAAACCTAAACAACGGGCTTTTGACAATTATTTTCCATAACAGACCAAATATTTCATGATAATTAGCGTTTTACATTTATAAAAGACGGACATGATATCCACTCAGCTATCGTCCAGGCCTGTCGATATAACACTGTTTCACAATACTGAAACTTGATATATTGTTTTTAGTAAATAGGACGATACTTTGCATCCCAAACAGCGGATAGAGGCAGTTAAGCTACGAGAAAATCAAAAAGCTTGAAATGGCTGGGTTCCAGGCCATCGAGTAGAAAGGTTTGCTGAAAAGTTCCAGGTTATATACAACTGTGAGAGCTCATTGTTTATTCAGACTAAGAATGTATTTATATGATGTATGCGTCAAAAATTGCAATGTGTAAAATACCGATAAAAGGTGAATGATTTTTTTTTTATGAAAGACACATAAGGAAAATTTAGAATTAGATACAATAGAAACAAACAATGAATACAACTGCAGCATTCAGCTGGTTTCATCCTTTTAGGACTCATCGGTGTTTTAAGGACCTAAATTTTGAAACCTCGGAGGCGAAATTTCAAAATTGATTGATTGTATAATGCATTATTTGACTGCCACTGTGTCTTATTCTAAATCTTATCAAAATGTGGTGTTTAGTTGTGGGTCTTTTATACAATATGCATGCACGTATTTCTTAACAACCCATGTCAGGTTGATAGGGGGAAATGGCTTATTTAGTTTCTTCGGTTACTTGATTCAAATAGCGAGATACTTCTTGCTTGTAATAACACAGAGGACACGGATGGAAATATCTGTAGCAGCCCAAGCGACTGTTATCAACAATATAGGATCTTAAAAGAGTTTTCATTTCATATGAAATTTTTGAAAAACGTGTCTTAGTTTTTACTTTTGGGACTCTTCCAGTGCAAAACTTATAAAATGTCATATTAAAGTTAAAAGTTAAGATACCTTATATCAAATAACCCAGGAAAGTTGCATTTTGGCAGGTTTGAAAAACCGAGGTATGGAGGACAAAATCAAACGATAGCAGCTACTTTCAGTTCATCATGTAACGCCTTTGTTTATATAATGTCATCACAGTCACCTTTTGACTGTCGCAGTCAAGGAAAACCTTCCCAGGGTTTATTACATTTGTATGGAAAACTATAGCGTTGGCGAATTCACTAGATAACAAGCGTATTTTGTGATAAGATTATTTACTAGTCTAAGGGATATAACCTACATCCGAGTTTAACTGAGGTACATCGCTCTGTGTTAACGCTCCTGAGATTCTGTAAGCTGTACATACTGTAAACAGGGATTTGGATTTCCGTGAACAGGTCTATCGAGTACAACATCCACAAACTGCACTTGAATGGCAGAAGAATGACATACATCCTCGATACACCATGGGTTACGCTCGCTACTGATCTCTACATTCATGAAAAGTCAACATATATGGTTCCGTGTGCGACAACCTGTGGACAAGACGAGAAGACTAGTTCGCTCCTTTGATATACTTCAAAAGAATCTCGAGGTAGTATAACGGTATATTGTTAAGTTTGGTGATGCTTCAGTCTATACCCGAAACTTGTTCTATACCAATCAAATAAATTGGCTTGTGCCAGGAGTGTGGAGAGCCATAGTGATCGTAACCCCCGGAGAATCGAGGATGCGTTGTCTTTAAGATTTTATACGACTTACTGGTTGAAGCTTTTAACTAAAAAATCGTTGAGTTGGAGAAATAGGCATAACCGTTAATTTTAGACTTTAATAGCATCACATGATAATCACTGGTCAGTTTTCATGGAGTTTTTTTGGTGTGTGTCATTATTCATGTCTGGAAACCAATTACCGTGTTATATTTAAAGAAATTTGATAGAAACTACTAATCGCTACCAAGATCCCATTACAAGACATGAGAGTATCTTCAAATTAAAAAGAAATCTACATGTAATTAATTATTCATTCTTTTAACTTAATACATCTGGAGAAAACGTTCGACAAAACCGAATGGTGTTTTATGTGGTCTTATGTTGTTGATCTTAACTCCATTTTACACCAAACAGTAGATATAAGAATTCTTCAACAATTATTACAGAACTAGTGATTTTGGGGAGACTATTACCAATTCCGATTGTTGGAGAAATTTCCTGTTAATGGTGATAAATCGTCTGCAATTGGTGTGAGGTTCGGGCTAATTGTCTCAGTAAATTGATTCACGACTCTAAAAAGCGATCATGAAATATGATAGATCCGTCAACAATGACTCCCAGTTCACCGTTTTTCTCCTAAAGATTTTTAATTACCTTTAAATGTACTCTCTCCCTCACGTTTGACTTCTATGCATAGACCGAAAATTTCTGTCTCTAAAATGATAAATGAATGTCTACATTCCAATTTCAATAAAAATGTTAATACCAATAACAGCATAATAAACGTGAATATTGACGTAAAATTATCATTTTAGAGATAATTTTTTGTTGTTTTTAATTCTAACTAAAACTAATAGCAATGACCTTAACAATTGTCATGGTAACATAGGATGGGCGTACTTTCGATACCGTTTTAGTGATTACGGGACTACGATCTTTCATCCTGCAACTGGCGGTGTTATTCTCGGAATCCACCTGCTACATATATTTTATTTGTATTCGACAGTGACGGAAAACAAATGCATTTTAGCACCTACGTTAATTACTTTATAAATTACTTAAAAATCGCGTTTAATACTATTAATTGCTGTTGAAATAAGCGATTTTATATATTTCATTGAACAAGTTCAATGGAGAAAATTCATGAAATCGCTGTCATATCCATTTAAGTTTGTAAATATATCTCTGCGTGGAACAATTATTAAGGCGAACATTATTGGGCAAAAGTCAGCGTAGCGTCAACGGCAAGTAAACATCAATTAAACAACAAAATTGAAATTTTTATGGTCTAGATATGATTTTCAACAAATGTTGCAGGATAAATAGTATACCAGGTATATGGCCCAGTGTTAAAATATAGCTACATTTTGGCTCGGGAAAGAAAGACACCTGGCTCGCCACTCTTCACCCTTGCCAAAATACAGTTTATATTATAAGACACTGACCACGTATTTTCTATTTATAGGAGCAGTGATTCTATACATTGCCAAAGCAGTTAAGCAAAAAAATTGCAGCTTTCTCAAAATTAAATCTTTTCAATCACCTGATTACCTAACACAGAGAGAAAAGAAAATGTGCCTAGTGGTGACTTCTCTTGTGCTTACTTTTGTTTGTTCACCAATACGCGAAGTAAACGGTCTCCTCTTCTTGTACCTGTCATTATCTAATCTGTTCTACTTGTGTTCCATTCTATGCTGTATCTAGTGTGTACTTACCCCCAAGCAGACTTATTTTGTTGTCAATGACAAACGAATTTTATTTGTTACAAAAATAACACTAACAAATCAAAGTGACAAATCACAAAGTTTACATGAGTAGGTTGGAAAACTACTCAACTTTTTGAAGTCGTGTATATAAAACTAGACAATCCATTTGTAGTAACAACAGTTTATTTAGACTTTGTAAAATACACTCAATATTAAAGCACCAAATTAAATAATAGTACAAACAATTACACAGATGACTTCACACAAAATGGAATTATTGTTGAACAAAGAAAAAACCCTAAATGCAGAGTTGGCACAATTAATAAAAAATAAAGCACACAGGTGCATCACTTATTGGGACTGGGACAATATCTTGACATTCAACTGGTCTTTGGTATTTACTAACATCTCGCATGAATGAAACTCACTAATCAACCTAACATTTCTTTCACAAATTTATACAAACCACAAAGGTTCATTATACTTTGATATGCAACATACCTGAATCACAACAAACCTATCATCATCCCAACCACAAACAAAAACATACTTACATAAAAGTTTTGTCATGCACATTAACAAATGTATTCTTTGGTCAATTTGTTAACTGTTCTTAGTCTAATGCTGAATCTTTTGAACTCATGATGTCAACTTCAATGAAAAAAATGTCAAACTGTCAATGTAAGATCTGTGTTTCTTCACAATGATATCAAAATTAAAAACTTCTACTCTGTAATATCAACAGTAAAACACATTTGGCAAAAATGTGAATTTGCATTCACGAAGAAACACTTTGATTTCAAAAACAAGTATTCTTAATTCAACCTTACACAGATTACAGATGGAGGATTTTTTTCAGAAATTTCAGCTGTGGAATAAAAGATGTCAAGGAAAACACTTCTGCTTAATTTCAGTCAACATCATTCTGGTGTTTAGCCTGATTTGAAGAGCAGGATGGCAACCTGTCCAAGGTAGAAATAAATGAAATGCTTGGTTTCATGAGTTACATAGCTCCCAAAGTTGCGTCCAACAATGCAGTGCCAGGTTGGGTTGTACTTTTTGTCAAACTCTTTCTTGATGAAAGCAGCAATATCTTTCTCGATGTTGTACTTCTCCAGAGCCTGTGTGGCACAGTCAACAGCATCTTGCTGCATGTCTTCAGCCATGTCAGCATTTTTTATCACAGCCTTTCTATCAGACATGGTGACTGAAAAATTCATAAAACAAAATAAAAATAAAGTCATGCTGACCAGATTTTCCAAATAAAAAACATGTCTTTGGTGTACAGGATAATATGTACAGACACAACATTAATTGTACCAATAATCACTGGAGATTACATAAACTTCAAGTTAAAATTGAACTTGACCCTGGGCAGGTCCAATATTGTATGTCATTCTACAATTGCTAGTTTGACTGACAATGACAGGGTTCTACAGACAATTCAATGCTGTATCACTCAATGATGTCTTCTAGAGGAATTGGTTGCTCTTGCTACATGAAAATGTACTTTTTTAAAATTAAAATACTATTCCTGCTGTCTTTGTGGCAGATCTATATCTAACAGCTGTTTTGCATGTGGAATGTCCCATTCTTGTGTATATTCCTTCAATAAAGAGTGACATTGTACGAATATCTACACAAAAGGTGTCATCTACCTGCTAACCGACCTTTAACATACTGCAGTTAGGAGATTGGTTTTGAAGCCTTTTCGTCTCAAGAGTCATTCGATAAACCAATAGATTTGGGAAACATTTATATCCAGTGATTAGGTAAACGTCAAATGAGGTTTTAGGTTCTCATCTATTTCAATTTTAATACGAACGACTTGCGCGTTTCATGTTTTGTCGCGTAATTCTGGAAGTAATAATCAAACAACGTACATAAAAGGAAGTACCCAAATGAAAGAAGAGGGAAAAAAACGAAAGTCTGTACAGTCCCAGTATTCCTGTAATTTGATAAAATAATGTTCTAAACAGAAGTACCGACAACTCGACAGTAGGTTTTCAGTATTTTGTCTTCAAAAGAAAAATGGGCCTTACGTATTTTCATTCGATACAAGAAATGCAAGATGGAGAACTTCCGTCAGGATGTACATGCAAAGTTTTCACTCAGATTTTTTTTCAATGTTGAATATGACGATATAATTAGTAATTATTTTAAGAATTTAACTAATTCGGGAAGTTCATCCGTCTCAAACCTACCTTTCTTTCCGATTTCACGAGCAAATTCGATGAAGACACCTTGCGACTTATTCGTTTACACACTTCTAACTCTCTGGTTCGGCTTCTGCGTATGATGCTGACATTAGCAACGTATCCAGAATGACGCTGTATCCAGGCATCTGATTGGATTTTTGTTAATCGTTAATTGGCCAAGTCAAAAATAAATCTGTCGGAGCATATATCGTCCCAGAAACCACTTTTACGGAAGTACAATCTCATTACTACGCTAAAAATCAGACGTGCAATTTATTAAACGGATTCAAACATTCCAAAGACCCAAGCCTGACGTTGACGCCACACAACCAGGAAATCTGTACAAGTTGAGGACGATCGAATATATTTTACATAGACAATGGCCTACAGGATGCCATCAGATTCCAGAATATATGTCGGAAATTTACCACCAGACGTTAGACAAAGAGATATAGAAGATTTATTCGAAAAATATGGAAATATTCGTTACATTGAGTTGAAAAATAGACGCGGTCCGCCATTTTCCTTTGTCGAGTTTGAAGATCCAAGGTATGCCAGCGCACGTGTATTCTCTTCGATGGGAATTTAATTGTTGTTGCAGACATCGTTTTGCTTTATTGTTTATAATTAGAACAATGACACAAGCCTTCACAATATAAATTGTCATACCTCTTGAAAGAAACTTGCCATTCTCGCAAAATCTGATTAAGCTTAGGTTAGTGGGAAATCCCCTAGGTCGTGTGCCCGAACACATAACACAGTTTTTATGTAGATACTTGTCAGCCACTTTAATTAGTGTTTTGTAGTTTTTTGGGAGTGATATTTCATGAACATATCAAACTGTTTATTAAATTCACACGCAGTTTTTAAAATTGAAAAATGTTAAACGCCATGATATTGTAGATTTTACGTCTGAAATGTTGCACCCTGACCAATATAGAAGATAGTTCTGCATTGAATGACGGAGAAAATGCAGCTAATTATGTAAAGTTTCTGGATGTAACAGAACACGAAAGGCTGATCATTTGGAGATATGTTTCCTCCTCCAGTACATTTCATTGGAAAATTCTTGAAAAATCACTACCAATTTAAATAAGGTATTTCCTTGAATATTTGTAACTTCAACTTTTGTAAAGCTTTCAATGTGATCAATATATTGAGAAAAATAAAGGATTTTCAATATCCATGAACTCTTGTTCCACTCGTTAGTGGATGCTGTTAACAGGACACCAATTTTGCAATCAAGATGATTTTTGGGGTATTGATAGATGATGATTTTTTTCCTATATTGCAATTGAACAAATAATATCTGTAAAGATTTTTAAAAGAATGTTTAAAGAATTTTATCTCTTGACAATGATTTTATTCACCAGTTGCAATTATGGTGTCCTGTGTTACATTCAGTTCAGAATCCAATTCCATGTTTCATCAAAGAAATGTTTTGTAAAAAGATAGATACACCAAAATTTCATTATTTAATGTAATGTCTTGCAAAGTATTGTCGATACTCAGTTGATCATCCAAATATTAAATATCTTGCAGAATGAAAAAACATAATGAAAATACTAAATTGCATTTGGTTTCCTGTGCATGCTAGGGACAAACAAGCGATGTAATACACCACATGCTTCTTATCTGCTATGTGTTAAATGTAAAAATATCTTTCTTGTATATTTAGGGTTAAATGTGGCTAAGTATCAAACATATTGGTAATTTTTTAGAGTAATTCATTAGGATGTAACAATGGATGCTAAACGGCATCAAACAATATAGCAAACCATGGTTGGAATTGGTCATATAGCTACAGATTATTTTGTCGATGGTCATCCTTTAATGGTCATTTTGCTGTAAAATGTATCAAATGTTGAATGACTGGTAATATTGAATGAATGGTTGACTAACATATTTATCTGATGTCTGGGACATAACATTGGACTTGCATTAGTGCCACTCTAGTATATAGGTCATCTTTTGTATTTGGTGGTAGTGCAGACACATGTTTAACAGCCAGAAAGCAATCTGTAATACACACCTAACATGAGATAAAACAAATATACCAATGTACTCATAATAAGAGATAAATCACTTGTAGTTTCAATGGCTGGGATGTAACATTATGACACTATTTACATAAGCGCTAAATGATTTAATTACCTTTAAAACATATTCAGAGGTTTTTCACTACATTCACTATTATCGGGACACCAGCCACTTCCATGAGGATATATACACAACCACAAGCGGAAATGCTGTAAATGTTAATGGATATACATTACCGTAAAGTAAATAAATTTCATTGATCTTTTCAATCTTAATTTATTCACCTTGTCTCATAACATTGAACACAACAGATATAATAACATTTATTTTTGTTTGTGAAAACGCCAACTATGGACAGCAAGAAATGGTGGATGTTCCTGTCAAATGAGACTTGAAATAGAACGTGATGCAAATATTTCATAATATAGCAAAATGTTCCGGTAGTTATATCCTTGTTTGAGGAACTTTCAATTGATATATGTGGTATTAAAGTAGCCAAAATCACTTAAATCTTTTAAGTCTTTCCATTTTTTTTTTTTTAGCTTAAGTCTCGCATATTTAGTTATGATGCATAATACAACTGAAAAACTAAAATTTGTTTTATTGTGGGAATGTACCGAAAATAATTCAGTACTCCTGGTCTGTATGCATATGTTATGATAGTACAGGACAGTTTCTATAAGCAGCTAACACTCTCAGTAAACATATTTTGGTAAAATTTGATTTACTGTGTTATAAATTTATGGGACTTACTAATATTTATGTCAATTCTGACCATAACAAAAATAGCTAGCTACATATTCTTTTGTTTTTATCTTTAAGAGCATATTCATGTATTCATATATAATGGGGTTTTGCACTCTCATTCATTGGTAATGGAGAACACTGACAAACATTTCATAGGAAGACAATCAAGTGAGCCATACTTGGAATAAGTTTCAGTACCAAAATTTGTCTGAACAGAAACATTCTCATTGTATATTCTAATGTTGTTTAGAATTAAGATATCATTAGAAAAAAATGACATTCTATGAAAAAGTGGAAATATGCATCATTTTACAGGTTATGTTTTGTAACAAAAAAGTTTCACAGTCCCAAGATATTTACTTTCCATATGTTTGTTACTATCCTGAAGAGATGCTGAAGACGCTGTTCGGAAGAGAGATGGCTACAACTATGATGGCTACACATTGAGGGTTGAGTTTCCGCGAGGAGCAAGGGGCCCCCCAAGTTTTGGTGGAGGTGGCGGTGGCAGAGGAATGTTTGGTGGTGGAGGTGGTGGCGGTAGAGGCCCACCTTCCAGGAGGTCTGAGTACCGAGTCCTTGTTTCAGGTGTGCAGTGGCAGAAATTTAGTTTGACAGTATTCATAACATTATTTCCTACAATAATTGTTCATTCATCAGCAATTGTATTCCTAATGATATCTTGAGCAATTATATCTACATTTATAAGAAAAAACTTCATTATATTATTAACTTAGTAAGTATTTGATTAAAATCTATGTTGGTTTTCGGAATTCTGTTGACAGAAAAGAATTTTCATATTGCCATATGATATTTCATGTATGATGGTAAATATTTTCATCAATTGTAGAACTACATTGTATGGTAATATTGAATCTTCAGTACAGAAAATACATACGTTACCAGGTTCATACACATTGATGTATCGTTTTGTCAAGATATCAGAAATGAAGTTTTAAGAGTAGCTGAATCAAATTTCTGAATCTGGAGATTGCTCATTTACCTTTGACACAGTATGGTTTTTTAAAGTTAAAGATTATGATGAACTTTGAATGGTTGCTTTTAGGACTTCCTGGCTCTGGCAGCTGGCAGGATTTGAAGGATCACATGCGTGAGGCAGGTGATGTGTGTTATGCTGATACTTACAAAGATGGCACAGGAGTGGTGGAATTCTTGCGCAAGGAAGACATGCAATATGCTGTACAAAATCTGGATGACTCAAAGTTCAGGTCACATGAGGTATCTAGAACTCCCCACACCCTCAAATTGAATTAGCATCCATTTCCAAATTTTAAACATTTCTGCTGAAGGAGCATCATATGATTTCTCTAAAATCAATCTGGCAGCACACTTTTGAGCATATGACATGTTTAGAGCAACTTCTGTAATTCCAGACCAGACTGTATAACAGAACATGAAATGTGGAAAAACACAAGCATTGTAAAATTTCAAGCGGCCTTCTATAGGTAAAAATTGGCGAATATGCTGGAGTAATCTTTAATCTTGGTTGATTTTGGAAACAACCAAGAAATTATGTGACGACCAAGATAAACTGTAATCAATTTTTAAAATGTACCAAGTAATTGTTTTACAGTTTCCTCCCTAGTGTAAAATTGAGACTGTCATTGATTCTCCCAAGTTTCTGTTTGAAAGCAATTAGAGTACATTTAGTTTATTTACATTAACTATCATTTTGTTATCATTACACAGCGCATCCACATTTTCAAGGACTTTTGCAGTTTATTCTGGATTATATCGGGTACAGATGATCCTGAGTTGGTTAAAATGGAGTCGTCGGCTTACATGTCTGTTTCAGATTTTAAGTGTAATGACAAATCATTGATGAAAAGTAAGATCCTCAGGGGGCCGAAAATAGATCCTTGTAAAAGTTATCTTATTCAACACATTTGTAAAGGACTGGATGGGGATATTGACCTGTATATATATTTTAATGTTTCAGGGAGAAGTGTCATACATTAGAGTGAAAGAGAATTACAGCAGTAGTAGCCGTAGCAGGTACTCGCGAAGCCGCAGCCGAAGTTTAAGTCGTAGTCCACGCAGAAGGAGGTCTCCAGGAAGAGGGTCCCCAGACTACTCGTCTGTACAGAGGAGGCGGAGGTCTCGGTCCCGATCGTGAAGGATCTCATTTGTCCTTTCACATCATTAAACACGGGTGTGGTCATCGTGTCATTTCATATAAAGCTTTTCTTTTCAACAGTAATACTTGGAATGTCTAGAGATACTGCATTCAGTCCAAAATGGCAATCATAATTTTGGTTGGATTTTAGTGTATTTTAAATTTCCTAATTAGAATTCATGCATTCAAATCATGCCAAATTCATGATCACAAGTACATAGAGCAGAATTGGTGCGGAATCCCACTTTAGTGAGGCTGAATTAGGGTCTGTCATATATTTTGTCCACCGCAAAGAAGGCCATTCTGTCTCCGTAGAAGTAATGGAAGGAAGAAAATATTTGCTTGTGGTTTCAAAACAAAAGTTACCAATTGTTAACATTACCTGTCAAAAACTAGCTAAAATGAATTGAACTCTCCACTGAACAAGATGAAAATCAAAGATATATAATACTATAAACATTACAGTGCATTGTGCAAGTGTTATGTTTGCAAAGGAGTTAGGTTTGCTCTATTCAGGGCATGCTTCAAAATCGAAGCCCAAGAATTTCATTTTCATTAGAGTTCTTACTATTTCTAAAGTGAAGAGATATTGACAATCAATGATTATTTTGCACAAAAATTTGACTAAGTATTTTGGATTTTACATAAGAAAAGAACTATACATAGGTAAATAATGAAAAGCATGATCATCAATGTTTTTAAAAGGAGGAGTGCCTTACGAAATCAAAGGTTTCACAAGTGACTGCTACTTATTATTAATCATTTCTTACACAGTCATGGAATTACAGTCCCGCTGTCAATCATATGATCAAGGGTCGTCCACAACAGTCTCTGTCCAATTAGGGATTGTGGATCCAGGAGTTTGTTGCTTCCAATTGGATATGATGGAGGCGGGGAGTGACTGTTTACTCCTGACATCCTTTTCATTGGAGGTGATGATGGTATGCTAATTTTTTTCATGCATATCATTAATTGGTATTGTCTTGTTTTGATAGTAGACTTTGCTTCCTTTGTTGCTACATTAACAAGATTTTTTTAATACCCTGACAAACGATCGTAATTTTGATCTGATAGCGGAATTAATACAGTACATGTTTTTATTTTCTTAAACATAGGTATATTGTAACCCATTTTGTTAGAGATAGTTCATTTATTTTGTGTTGAAGCAAGAAGGTAAAGAAAACTGTATGCTGTCTTTTGGAGGATAATTTAACTTTGAGTAAGCTTTTTCATGAGTGATGTATTCCTGAAAACAAGGCAAATCAATGACAAAACATTCTGTCAACAAAATTTAAGATAATTCAATGTCATAAGAATATTAATTTTGATAAAAGGATTTTTTTTCAGCCTGATAACAACCTTTGCCTTCTTCACCGGTCGTTTTGTAATCCTACCAAATGGTTGCTAGAGTTTTAGGCATAGTAGATATAAATTATTGAAAATCTGTTTCACATATATCAAACTATTTCAAATCATTAGGTCATTAAGATAATTTGATTTCTTCCTGAAATGCAGAATAAACAAAAATGCATGAAAGAAAGTAATATCTATCAGAAAAAGAATTCTATGCATATTAAGATTCCAGTGCATGCCTTGTCATAACATTTTGTAACTTAATTAAAATGTATCTTTGTATTTTCATCACTTAAGGTTTTGAAGTTGGAAGGAATGGGATAAAATAGTGGATTGGATGGATTTAGGATAGGGAAATTGGATAAAAGATGGATAATGGACCGAATGGAGATAGGAGGATAAGTTTAGGATTTTTTTCCATGGAAATAGTTTGGAAAATTGAAAGTATTAAAGATATAGGACCAAATGGAGATAGTGGAAAATATTTAAGGATTTTGCCCTTAAACCTAAGTTTGGAATTGGTTTGGATAATTGGAATTAGGACCGAATGGAGATTGGAGGAAAGTAAAAGGACCGAATGGCAGTTGGAGGAATTGTCTTTTTTTTTCTGAAGTATTGGATAAAATTGGAGGAATTATGAATAAGATGGATTTGGGAGGGACCGAATGACGATTGGAGGAATTTTAGATAAAGTGGATATGGGAGGGACCGAATGGCGATTGGAGGAATTTTATTTGATAGACAGTTTTTGGTTCTGAAAAAAAAGATTGGATTTGGATTTTGGACGGAATGGAATTTGGAGATTTTTTTTTTCCTGCAAAAATTTTGGAAAGATCTGGATCAGTGGACCATTTGGAGATTGACATATTTAATGTCAAATATTACAGGGAGTTTGCGAAGTTTTAGATAGATTTTATGGCTGCATATAGATAAACCCAGTACAAAGGACATTTAAACAGAAATTTCATATTTCTCATACCTGTTTTGATATAATAATTGGGAAAACCTGAACGTTCTGTTCAGAAGTTGTTTTTAATATTATAATGTGGTTTGAATTCTTAAATCAACATATTTTATGCGTGCATAAAAGCTTGTTTTTATTATTTTATCCTTGATTTTCATTATGGCACACATAACATTAATTTGGAAAAAGTGTTTTGTTTTTATGTATGGAATTTGTTTAACATTCATCCTGATTATTTTTAATGGATGTTTAAATTGCATCAGTCTATTTTTTGTCCCTGTGCAGACACATTCCTATGAATAACTAAAGACATTTCTCTCATGATTTAGTGAGAGTAATATGGAGTGGCTAGGAAGTTTTTTTCCCTCCAAAACTGCTTACCAAATGTATTCAACACAACAATTAGGACTGTGAAACAAAGAAAAAGGATGGAAAGAGGGACAAAAAATAGTTCCATGTAGCTTTAGTCTGGAACTGTTCAGAAGTTTTGGAGTTGGTTGAAAACAGGACCATCTGATGTTCTATATATTTTTCAATTTTTTTTTTTTTTTTACCGTACATCATGTCTTTGTGGTTTTTATTTTTACAATACAGAGTAAGTAAGGAAATCATTGTCAAGTCATTTATTGCACATAATTTCAAAGTAATGGTCTTGTATTGTTCTTAAATTGTCAGCCATAAACTGCATTGTTTTGTCACTTGCTTCTTGCTGTATAGAATAAAGGATATTTTATGGCGTTTGTTGTTTTGTATTTTTTTTTAGCTTCAAGGAAATTATAAGCAACTGTGATCTTCGATCAACAGGTACCTGGGTTGGAGTACAGTGCATTTTCTAGATATGAATGACCTTGAACGTTTTGCGATGTTGTGGGTCAGGTATGTTAAATTCTTTAAAAATCTCATTTAAGAAGACCAAGATTTTTAAGAATTGCCAATAGGATTACATTCTTACTGGTTAGAATGCCATATAGATTCTAATGAATAACTTGAGATGTATTTTCAAGTTCACTTAGGTCAAACATACAGCAAAATATTGGAGAATTTTCTCAAGTTTCGGGAAACTTGAGATGCTGATATTTGCCCTTTAGGTGCATGGTTTATAGTGCTTCAAAACTTTTACCTTGAATATTTTTCCAAAGTCCCTGATAAAACTGGTTAAAACATCTTAATCTTCTAGAGATCGATCTCCAGAATATTAGTATTTAGCCATAAGATATGAAGGACAGAATGGGATAGGTTTTTTTTCATATCAATGATCATGAGCTATCCTCAATGTCACAGAGGTCAAATGTGCTTAAAACCATTCAGAATAAATAATACCCAAGAATACAGATATGTTATGTTGGAAAGATTAAGTTTCCTTTTTAAAATGACCTTGACCTATTTCCAAAGTCACATCTCAATATTATGCTGGACAATCTTTCAAATTGCAGGTGGCCTTGACTCTTCATGTTTAGCTAGTGCAAATGTAAGTTTAGAGTTAAGTGTAGTAGTCTTCGCATCAATGATCTAGACTTTTTCACCACAGGAGTACCAATAAACTGGTTAAAGCATTACAAAATTTCCAGAATACCAGGGCACTGTTTGACCAGGTATTATCTGGGACAGTGAGCTTTAAAATTTCCTCTTAAACATGACATTGTATAATTTTTACTGGTCATTGGGGTTAAATATGTTTCAAGACTGCATCTTTATGATTTGCAAGCAGGTACCTAGGATAGAATGCTACCAATGGTTAAGGCAGGTTCTTAGATATCCGACAAGGAATAGTATAAACAGATTTGGAGCAAGTTTTGATATCCCCTGAAGTTTTTATATCCCCTGGAAACGTTGATGGGACAACAGGAATGTTGTACTTGATGTCAAAAACTGGCTTCAAAGTCCTTGGAAGTATTCTGGTCAAACAAAACTAAGTGATCATATTGTTCGATAAAATTAAGTTTTGGTCACCATTTCAGAAAAATCCTTGTTGACACTGTAAAATCTCACTCCCCAAGGATGGAGCTATGTTTACATAGAATAATTACGATCTTGTTCAGTTTGAGTTTCTGGATCAACGGTCTAGATCACAGTTACTATTTTTAGACAATCATTGTCCGTGTGATTATGACTTCATGCTTGCTGGGGTGTTGATCAAATGCAACATACTGGATTGTATTTCATTGCACATCAGTGGAAGCTGAACCATAACGGTATTTGAGTTTAGATTACCTTGATTTTGTAACTATCACTTGTATTTAGTTTTGAGTCACAAAACAGGGGAAAACTTAAGTTGAACAGGTCTTTATCAGATTAAGCAGATGACCAAATATGCAGCTGTGACTTTGAATTTGAAAATGTAGTTGGGGGGAATAGTTTCAAAACACTAGATACAAAAAAGTGTGAGAATTAAAGAGAGGGATGAAATGCACGTTTTTATTTTCCTATATGCCGGAGATACTTGACTTTGATAATGCATTGCAGACCCTGCATATCAAGTTATCAACTTTATTGAAATCTAATTCTTTTGACAATGCATTTTTGTCAACATCATACTAAACTGCATTTTTGCATCAATATATGTGCACCTATATACATGTCTTAAGGACACTTGGGGATTTTTGTGTAAATATGTGGGAAGTCATTTTTATCCAAAATTCAAAGCAGTCAGTGCTTGTAATTCTACCATTCATAGGTCATCTTGATGGCCATCTTCAATATCAGATGCCATTTAAGACAAAGTAAACAAGCACAACCCTAACATGTTTTGCTGTTATCTACAATTATTAGAATGCTTTTTTAACTCTTTAGAAACAGCACAAGCAAACTAAATTTGAAGATCAATACATCTTGTTGGCCATCTTGAACATTTGACATGTGCAACATGGTTTCTAGTTTGGGCTATTAGCCTCATTTAACCGAGTGTATATTTTGTATCATTTTGCAGGAACAATGACAAAGAATATGATGGAGAACTATTTCCTATCATAATGCAGGTATTCTAATGTGCCAAAACTTTACCAATGACACATTCTCTTCCATCCCTTTGATTTATAACTAAGGACTTAATAGTGAAATTCTATTTTGGATATTTATAAAATTGAATCTTGTATAAATGAAGGAAACTGATTGACAATATGTAATACATGTACCATCTTATTTGCATAGGAAGGGAAATAATAACTAGCTGATAATCAAGATTGAACACATTTTCGGATAGTTTTGTATCTTTTATTGGTCTTGAGAGTTTTATAACACATTTAAACAATAACAAGAGGAATAATTACTGAATGTAAATGCATTTACTTCGTAATTATTAGAAAACAAGAATTCAACTGAATCATATTTCTGGTCGTCACTAATAGGATTTTCAAAATCAGCTTAAAACCAGAGTTGAATTTAAGAAAAAAAAAATTTCTATGTGCATCTTTTCTCACTTAAAAAAATTTAAGCCTCTTTTTGAAATCCAATGAACATTTTCATTTTATGGAACCTTCGAGTAGAATCTAAATGCTACAAATTTCTTTGACGGTACATTCTATTCCAGCTATCAAAATCAAATGGTGTATTATCTAGAAGTTCTTGAAACTATGTGAATACTAGCATACTTGGAAAAGTTACACCACAAATTTGTTCCTTTGCTTCGGTTTAACATACCCAAAAGATATTTGTGATGATCCTGTTATATTGTGTTTGTATATCTTTGTGCAAAAGATTCTCAAGAAACCTGATCACCGATAAACAGGTTTCTTCAGATCATCGGTTTCTGATAAAAGTGATATCCTTCATCAATCCTACTTCTTCATCATAAGCTGTATTGCCTGATCCAAAGTAATTGGAGCAAAATCCACCAACAATCCTGGACTAGTTATGGTTAACTTGAGACATACATTTTAAGATACATGATTTGAGATGGGTGCATCGACATGAGGGGTCAAAAGTTAGAAAGAACATAAAATCCAAGCAAGAACTGTCAACAGTCCTAGTATTTCTAATCTAGATGTATCCAAAGATCAAACAGTCCTATCTATTGTCAGTTCAATTTATCCCACGATCCCTCTGCACTCTTACTTATATGCTAGATGTATCCTAAAATCCAAGCAAGATTCCTCAGTAGTGCTATTGATGAGCTAGATGTTTCCCAAGATCCGACCAAGATTGCTCAACAGTCCTATTCATAAACTAGATGTTTCCCAAGGACAAGATCCCTCAACAGTCCTATTTGATCACTCCACAGTCCTATTCATAAGCTAGGTGTATCATAAGATCCAAGCAAGATCCCATAGAATCCTAATCATAAAGCTAGAGTGTTTAAGATCCTGAACAAGATCCCTCAGCAGTCCCATTTAAAAGCTAGATGTCCTAAGATCCAAGCAAGGTCCCTCATGATCAGCAGTCCCTGTAGTCATTAGCTATATCTCCTCCAATCCGAGCAAAATTAAAGTATTTTTAAGCTAGTGGTATCCTATATCCAATCTCGACCTGTTAGCAATGCTGGTATTCTAAGCTAGACATACTGTGAGATCCAAGCAATATCTGTCATTGATCCAAGTGATTTTAAGTTAAGATATTTGAGACAATCCATTAGTGATCAGAGTAGGGTATTACTAGTCCTAGCCATTAAAATCTAAACTTGTCAGATTTTGCAGCAAACTGGACAAGACTGAAAGTGATCCTAGTAGTTTTAATACACATATCTTAAGATCCATTAGTAATCCCAGTGTATTTCAAAGACATATCCCAAGATCCATTAGCAATCCTTAACTTTTTAGAGATAACTCCTTAGATCCATCAGTGATCCAAGTAAGATCCTTCAGTGATCCTAGAATATACAGAATAGGGTCACCGCCAGATCCTTTCCTCCTAGTGTGATCCTATAGCAATCCTACTGTGTACACGATACACAGCCTGATCCTATAGTGATCCTACCATCCAAAGATCCACAAGATCCTTTGATTTGATATTGGATTCAGTTTTCCAGGCCAGAGGGGGGAAGGTTTTCCTAACACAGAGAAGATCCAGAAGAAGCTTATTGTTTTCTTTAATGTAACAAAAATATTTGGTGGTGCATTACTTCTTTTTCCTCCAAATATTCTGCTAAAACATTATCAAAAAAAAAAACACACATCAGAAGTTTCAAAATGAAAATACATGCTATAAGAAATTCATTTTACTACTAAAGTTACCGAGAACAAAAGAATTTCAGATAAGACTTTTAGAATGGGAAAATTAATTTCAGAATAAATTTAACAATTTGAAAAAAAAACTAAGAAATATTAAGAAAAAAAATTCCATTTCTTTTCCATCTTTCCATCTCTCCCTGTGCCAGATCCCAAGAGCTCTCCCCTGTCTGAATATTTTTGAGTTGGATCCTGAATTTTTCTCCCTTTTCCAAAGAAATTTTATTTTTCCAAGAACAAGGTTATCCAAAGAAAGGATCCTAAAGATTTTGATCCATTTTTTGGTCGACAAAATAGGAAATTATTTCCGCTATGTTGATCCGAGGAGGGGTTCCGAAAGATTCTATCCAAGTGGAATTTGGGGAGAATGGTTTTTCCAAAGATTGAATCCAATACCATTATCTCAATTTGCTTCCTCTGAGTGAACTCACTCCTTCCAGAGTAAAACAAGCTTAGACCTTTGAATCAAACAAAGAAAAAGAAAGTATGACATTAATTCTTTTTAATAATATACACATCATAAAGCATGAAATGAAAACACACAAAAAGATACCTAGAGAAAAATGATTGACTAATAGTCATACAACATCAAACTAATGCAATATCCTTTTAAATGATTACTATCAATTAATATTTATATCACAATGTATTCAAATTAAGGAACCTTAATTTTAAATGACCAATGGCATCTACTATGATTAAAATGTCTGCACTTTCAATATACCTTTATACACGATTCAAAATACTGCTAACATTTTACAATGATGTCAACACTATCAAACATCTACAATTTAGATTTGATTACATTTTAAAATATGGGTTGAAGTGATATCAAACATAATAATATTATACATATGTAGTATTTTACAAAATCATTATGTCAGATGTTGGAATTTAAAATATCTACTACTGTTTTTACTTTTAGTAACATTGTTTCGAAAATATTAAGCAAATTCTGAACCTGAGGCCTTCATTTGTTATCGATTCTTTACTGATAAAGAAATTTTCCTTGATTTTATCCAATTAAATGCCATTACAACATATTTCATACATAAAATGATTGTCACATATATTGTAATGCATGTGATCATCACACAAAGAAATAACAATTACAATATCCTCTATCATGTTAATTTTGTTCCTTCTGATCCTAGAGCACAAACTCAACTTTCAATGACCAGTCAAGTCTTCATTGCTATTATCTTTCCTTTTGCAGTATACCCCTCTCTATGCATTTTCACAATTATTATCATTAAACATACCAATGTCCCTGGTAAAGCAAGGAATTTACCTAATGAACGGAAGTATATATATAGATATAAAAAAAATGAAAATGATTTACTTTTAAGATACTGCTGTGAAATGGATTTGCACTGCAGTACGTATACACAACAATTATGTAATTTCATGATTTTCCATTTGATTTTCTTATAAAATATTGATTTATTTTAATGTCAACAAATTCACAGAACTGTTCAATGATACACTGAATATCCCAAATATATACAGATCAAAACTGAAATATCAAATAAAAACAAAAGGCCCATCTGGTCTGTTCTGCTCACTTATTTCCTTATGGCTATCTAAATAAAAAATGTATTTGCTACACAAGGTCATGTGTTCAGAAACATTGTTATGTAGTAATAGTTTATTTATAAAATAATTAAGCTTATAAACAATCAATTATTTGCATGAAGATTAAATCAGAATTTACTCTAAACAATTTTACTGATAATCTTCCCAGAATTCAGGTTCCAACAAAAGTCAATGATACTACTGTGGTTTTAAAAAAAATCACATATCTTTAACTAAGTTTTCAGATCTGCATCAACTTCAATGTTAAAAATTGGTCTGAAAATAATGATAATGATATAATAGGTAACTGACAAATAAAACTTTATCTATTTGACCCATGGTATTGAGGTTCAGCACTTAGAAGCACCCACCTCAAAATATCATTTAGCTATATTGAGCATCATCTATTGGCCAAACACTTTCACAACCTTCATTTACCAGTACATTACACATGTTGAATTTCTTCAACTAAAGGACATTAAGAGGTTTACACCACTTGCCCTGTGCTTTTAGAGAAGTCTTCCAACCCGATATCTGCAAAGCCGTTATTTGAGTCTTATCCATAGTTCCACTATCTTGCCATAAATTTGCCGCAGTTTTGATTTGTATGCATCAAATCTCCTTTGTCCTCAATACCAATTTCTGTTAAAATATCTTTACTAAGCCATAATGATATTATTTTCTAATCTCACGCATTTAAAGGTGAACAGACGACAGATATTGCGACACAACACTAAATACAAATTGAATAAAATCTGTTGATGAATAAACATTGAAAAAAGCAAACTGACTCTGAAAAATAATAATTTCCATTTGCTTTGTGCTGCCATAAATGTGTTACTGTTGAAATTTACACTAACTACTAGTTATTTCCAGGTTGTAATAAGATCAAATGACATGAAATATTCAAATAAAAAAATATTGAAGATGAGGAAATTTTCCCCATCAAATTATGCCTCCGTTGCATGCTTTGAAAACTAAATTTTTACAATAAAACAGGAAAACCCCAAAAATTTACAAAAAGGAAATATTTAAAAGTCCCTCCCCAAGATCATACCATAATCTGAAGCCCTCCTTTAGCTAGAAAGTGAAAAGTCTGTAATGTCCAGGGATGGAAGAGCGTAGTTAATTGTCTCCCTAGCAAGTAAACACTGTCAACATCTTGTTTATTGCCATGTGACACGACTTCCTCGTTTATCCAGGTTTCATATCAATCTCACTTATGAAATTCACCAGCACCTGTAGCAAAAATACATTGCAATAACTTCCAATTTCATATACATGCACTTAATCACTCTATCCAAATATTTATCACAATAGCACTGTCCCATCTTAAAATCTATGATTAAGACTTTCTACTGTCTTTTTCCCTTAAAATTTACACTATCCGTCAAAAAGTTATATGTTCTCAGTATAAATCATCAGTCATTGTGTAAGTGATTTCTACACAATATCGATTAGCTACCACTGCAAAATTTATCTTTTGTATTAATCTCAATAAATCCTATTCCATCTATAATGATTCAAGCGTTTTCACATTCAAATTTTGGGCGTCAAGAAGAAATTTCTTTTACTTTTCTTTAGCCTATGATCGTGAACGCGACCGGCCATAACGTGGAGATGACCCTCTTGGGCTTCGACTACGAGAACGCCCTCCTCTATCTTCTTTGACTCTAACATATGATGTTTCTCCCTGAAAAATGAAAAAGGTTGAATGTTTATCTAGTTGAAATGTATACATGCTTTGAGGCAACTGGATGTTATTATCAAGCCACTTCTAAATCAACTATACTATGCTATTCATCAAGTACAGCAGCTGTGCTGCTACAAAAGTTATTGGATTTAGCTGTTTGATATAAACAATGTAACCAATTTTCATGAAACCAAATAAAAAAAAATCAAACCTCGTGTGATCTGAACTTTGTATCATCCAATTTTCTGACCGCATACTTCATGTCATCGTGTCGTAGATATTCCACCACTCCTGTGCCATCTTTATAGACATCCGCATAACAAACATCACCAGCTTCACGCATGTGGTCCTTTAAATCTTGCCAGCTTCCTGTTGGTGGTAACCCTTTATGGTGAGGAAAAAAAATATTGAAATTAATGGACTTTGACATTTGATTGAAGTTCAATGGTCTGTTGATAGCCTAGGCTATCAGAGAAATTCTATCTGTATACATATGCCAAAGTTCAGGATAAAGACAAATGACTATGAATTTATGATTTAGAGACCCCTTCACATACCTGATACTAGTACTCTGTATTCAGATCTACGTGAAGCGGAAAAACGTCCCTGGCCGAAGCTACCTCTGCTGCCTCCCATACCACCTGAACGTTGTGTACTCCCACCCATTCTGTATCCTCCACTACCGCGAGGAAATTCCACTCGCAGGTTGTAGCCATCATAACCATAGCCATTTCGACAATGGACTGCATCTTCAGCATCCCTGGAAACAAATCATCAAATTCATCAGTTTATTTATTCATGTCCCTATTTCTAATAATCCTGCATTTCAGAAATATAGTTATTACTCAAAGTAGTACATTTTCATGTAAATTAAAGACTATTACCCATGTGCTGGGTTGTGCCCAACCTGTTAAAAAGTAAGCATTCAATTCTCAAGAATGTCAAAAACAAAATAAACAAATGACAACAACTCTTGAAGAGTTTTATGTGGTAGATATGAGAACACAGACAACTTGAAATTTATAACTGTCAAATAGACATTAAGATCTATTTTATGTCAATCTTGAAATTAAAGATATCTTTAAATGAGATAAAGCATTTCACAGTCAGCATTTGGGGAAAAGCCATTCGCAAAATGTATTCAGCATGTTGTACCATGGCCTGCTTTCCATATCTATGAAAGCTCTGACATGCTAAATGCTATATGAGGAGAAACTATTTGTTTTGTCCACTCCTTTTGAATATATCTCTAAATTTTGTTTGCTGAAGGAATCCATTGAAAGTTCTTCAAACAAGGATATAATTACCAAAACATTTTGTAATATGAAATATTTACATCATAATTTCTATCTTAATTCTTATTTGGCACCGATACCCTGCCATATTTTGGTATCCACGTTTAGTGTCATAAATGTTGCGTCCAAACATGTACTTGTGCATTATTTCCTCCTTGTGGTTATGTATATCCTTGCAAAAATGGTTGGTGTTTTGACAAAAGGGAATATCGTAAAAAAACCTTGAACTTGTTTTAAAGAAATCAAATCATTTAGCGCTTGCATAAATGCTGTCTTAATGTTACATCACAATCATTGAAACTACAACTGATTTATCTCTCATTATGAGTATGAGTATTGAATATGCAGGCCAACCATTGAAGAAATTGTTTGAAAAAACAGAATTTTATTCGAAACAAATCTAATATTACATGTCATTGGATATTTGATATCTTTTACAACAAAATTACAGTTCAAGATTGACCACTGATGAAATGTTGTGCCATATTTTGGTATCCACGTTTAGTGTCATAAATGTTGCGTCCAAACATGTACTTGTGCATTATTTCCTCCTTGTGGTTATGTATATCCTTGCAAAAATGGTTGGTGTTTTGACAAAAGGGAATATCGTAAAAAAACCTTGAACTTGTTTTAAAGAAATCAAATCATTTAGCGCTTGCATAAATGCTGTCTTAATGTTACATCACAATCATTGAAACTACAACTGATTTATCTCTCATTATGAGTATGAGTATTGAATATGCAGGCCAACCATTGAAGAAATTGTTTGAAAAAACAGAATTTTATTCGAAACAAATCTAATATTACATGTCATTGGATATTTGATATCTTTTACAACAAAATTACAGTTCAAGATTGACCACTGATGAAATGTTGTGCTGTAATATGACCAATTTTAATCGAGGTTTGCTATATTGTTTGGTGCGGTTTAGCGTCCATCGTCACATCCTGATAAACCATTCTAAGATGTGAAGGATATGTTGGATTCTTTGCCTCCTATAACACAAGAAAACCCAGAATATACAAGAAAGACCTTTCTACATTTAACACCCAACTGATAAGAAGCACGTGGCTTATCATATCACTAGTTTGTTCCTCGGACACCAAATACAATTTAGTATTTTCATAATGTCTTTCCATTATGAAATAGATTTATTATTTGGATGAAGAAATATGTACAGATAATATTCTATGTAAACCGATTTTGCATGATATTAAGTATAACATTAAAATATTCTGGTGTATGACTTGCGTATCTATTTTTTTTTTTACAAAATATGTCTGGGATGTAACATTGAATGGGATTCTGAACTTAATTAATGCAGACACCATAATTGCAACTGGTGAATAAAATCATTGTCAAGAGATAAAATTCTTTAAACATTATTTTGAAAATCTTTAAAGATATTATTTATACAGTTGCAATATAAAAAAAAAATGCATCTTCATCTTTTAGCATCCAAAAAACTTGATGGCATAATTGGCGCCCTGTTATGTCTGCTAAGAATTTTTGTAAATAAAACTTATTTGATTGCCTATAGTTGAAGAAATAAATATTCATGGCAATACATCATTAAAATAGACTGTAATTTTCATGAATTTGACAATAAAATGTACTTGATACGGAAATATATTCCCAAATGAACACCATTTTTGAAGTCCTGTTACATCTAGTAACTCTACATAAACAGTTGTATTTTCTCAATCAATTCAAATAAAAGTTATCTACTCCTCTATTGACCAGAATGAAACATCATTTTATGATGTGAAATCTAGAACATCATGGTGTTTTACCTGGTTTTAAATGTTCAGAAATGGTTGTCACGGATGTAACACAGATTTTATGACGCCACATTCTGCCTCGTATAGCAAATGTGAAATGCTTAATCTTTAATTAGTTTTAAAAGTGCATGTAACTGTTTTGAGTTGCTGTCATTTGTGTAATTGGATAAATACTTTTGTTGCTGTAAGTTTACAGCATTAAGCGAAATGCTTAAAAGAAACTGCCCCTGTAATTTGAAATGCCGAATGCTCTACAGCTGCTCTAGGACTACAGGCAAATATGGACACTGTTGTTTATCATTAACAACTTCATGATCAAAATATTTCAAATCAGAGAAGTTTGCATTCAGCAGAAAGCATAAAGCGTGTTGTACGGCTTTCCATACATTTTAACTAGATAATTTATAACAATCGCCAACGATAAGACACCATTTTGCAAACACTTTATCAATAATATGCACGATGCCATTATTTTAAACTGTTGAGTATGGAGGCAACACAATAGCACTGGAATTAAATGTAGAAACATTTTCGGTGGTAGGCCTAGGAAACAGATTTACATCAAAATAAAACAGTATTCGCTCCCAACCTTGGATCAGCAAATTCAACGAAAGCGAACGGTGGCCCTCTCCTGTTCTTTAGGTCTACGTAGTGGATTCTTCCATATTTTGCAAATAAATCTTCAATGTCCCTGTCGCTTATATCTGGAGGAAGATTACCAACGTAAATTCTGGCATCTTTTTGCGCCATGTTTGTAAATATGAATTGTTTCTCTTCACCACAGGTACAAAAGACAGAGCCTCAAAGCCGAAAGCGTGGGCAATACTGAAAACGAGGCTACACTTAATATTGAGAACCAAAAGGTCACGTATATCCGGATTTTCTGACAGGTCTTGTTATTATAATTCATATTAATGCAGACACCTAGCAATAGGTTCACACACGCTATACGTAGAAAAGTAACAATTAGAAAAAGGCAGACAATTAGTCCAGACTATTTGAATATCAACATGTAACATTTATGCCGAAACTGTCTCATGATCACTCCGCTGATTATAAATCATCTTGCCAGATTCAATTTATTTATTTATTTAAATGATTTAAACTTATTTATTCATTGATATAAATTATTTGAATTTATTAATTTATTTCAACTCATGCCACTAAAATATCTCTAATCCCACACACTCATTGAAAACTCAGGGGAAACATGGATCTATGTTTGGGTAGGAACATGCGACTTAACTTCAAACACACACAATAAAAAATATCATATCGCTAATATCAGAGGAATACCAGACCGTCGACAAAATTGTTAGTTATCTTGAAAAAACCATTGCACTCATAGGAGAATTTCCCGAATGCAAGGTAACAGTATAAGAAAATCCAGTATACTTCATCAAGACCTGAAATCAACGTTGTGTCGATAAAACCCAGACGATTTCAATGGTCAGGACATAACATTTGGAAATCAAATCGGCACACTATATATGTCAAAATTAGAGACAGGTTCACAACGGAAGGCATTCCCCTATTGTCACAATCGACCTAATCCGAAACTGCCCTCACATAGGCCTCAAACTCGCGAACCAGAAGGCCAGTGATATACTTTTTGTCTCCCACTGATATAATGGTAAATTTTTGCCGTTCTTGTCAGATCTTTGGCTGTATTTATATAGAAAAATCGTTGTATAATGTATCGCAAGGCATCGCAATAAACTGCTTCCAGTAAATATAATATATTCAGTAGTTCTGAGGTCAGCACTGGGAATCTTTTCATTTTAGACACATTCAATAGAGCTTTCATCTTTGTATACATTATGTTTTAACTATTATTAGAAATCACACTATCTTCATTTATTTTTCATTGATGACAATGTTTTGAATTTCATCACTGACATCATATATATGGCATATAATTACAGTATTATACAAGTTTTAGCCCAGTTTAGCATATAGTTCTCCATTCGTTGCTGATATTTTTTGGATTTAACATATCGAAATTATTTGCGGCATACACAGGGAGATATTCGGATACGTCATGGGAACAGAGTTTGTCTATGTTGCAATTCCACATAGAGGTTTTAGAAATCTCTGGATTAATGATACGGCCAATTATGGTTTTGTGTGATAGATTGTTTTTCCTATACTTATACCCAGTACCATGTGTACATGGCAACATTTGAAATAATCATGAACACGATTATCTTTTAAAGCAATAAGCATTGATGTCTTCAAATATAAGAAACTACCGTTTTCTAAACTCGTTTAGAAAGCGGAAGTAACTCTTTGCCCAAACAAACAGATTTTGTCATAGACATTAAAAAGATGACAAACTGTCGCTTCGTGAATTTATAAAAAAAATTGATGGATGGAAATTGGACTCCTATTACATCAAGGGTAATAGAATTTTTAATTCGATCTTTACACCTGTAATTCTTGATGAGTTGTCATCAATGGAGTTAGCACTTACGTTATAATATTTACTTGTAAAGAAACAAGCCCTGTCAGATTCTCGACAACTTGGTATTCTACTATGGTGAAGTTCCTATATAGTTTCGTCATTGTGACGTGTAGACGGGGATATCCAAGGAACAGCAAATAACATTTAATATTTGTATGAAACCAAAGAAGACAAATTACAAAGGGAAATGTTGAACTATGTTACAGCCTATGCTTATTTAAATGACACCCTTCACATGTTTATTTTTTCCTCTTTTCTTTCCATTCTTTGTATTAAGATTTTTTGTCTCTGGTTGTATCTCCCGCGTTCATTCTCATATGACATGGACTTTTTCTAGAACGCTTAACTCCTGTTGAAAATAATGACATAAAAGTATATGTATGACAGCATGTTTATGCTTTCAATTTCGACAAAATTTATTGTGAATCGTGCAGGGTAGTCCAGTATCACACATTGTACATAAACACTGCCATTGTTTTAATTTTATTTGAAGCAAAATTAAATTGTTTAATCTATTTAATGTTATTCATATACATAATAATGAGCGTTACAATGACACACAGATCCATAGCACAGACGGAAAATGTTATTACGAACATTAAAAATAAACGATGAATATTTCCCTATCATAACTACCCTGTTTTCAATATGATACCATTCTTACATTAATTTTGTTATGACACGTGTAATACAACGTAGATGAGCTGTGATTGGCTGGATGCTCAAACTGTTTCTATTGTATCGTCATAACTTCATAATGTCATATACACATATCTATGGAGTGGGAATATTAACAATAATTTGATATTGTCAAAAATGTTAGAAAAAAGTATCCAAACATGTGATAAACAGAATATTACATTCGTTTCTATTTCATATACGATTCATAAAACGTTTTAGATATTGTTTCCTCACCAGAGACGCTGTAAAAGGTAAAAATTTGAGATCCTCGTTATATTGAAATTGACTTTGTAATATAAGTATGATTTGTGACACATAACCTTTAAGTACCAAACACAAGCTATTATTTAAATATCTTTGAAACATAATTACCAAAACCCAAAACTCTAAACTATTGCTAGAATAGCTTTAGATAATTAAAATATGAAAAAAATCCAAACGAAATCGATTAAAACATACTTGCACTACATTGATCCTGACATGATACACTGCTCACTGTACATGTGTACAAAGGTCAATGTCAACATTTCACAATTAAGATATTATTTATTATGCGTACAGTTTCTTACACCAATATATATGTTTTGCATTCAAAGCCCTACAGTTTGTAACAGTGATCATGATGTTTTATGCTGTAACCTGCTCAAAGTAACGCTTACACACCACATTTCCGCATTCAATTTGCTGAAAATAAAAAGACAAAACAGTAAAATGAGAGAGGTAGCTGATTTTACAAAACACGAAAGATTTACAAAACATAATTCATACACTACTTTTATTGATATTGATCTATTTATTTGGTTTTTTTTTGACAAAAAATCAAAATCAATCCAGATTTGGAAAATGAAAAATAAAGATAAATTATAATATTTATTGTTGTTGTAATATTAAAGCAAAATTTTATATACTTGATAATATATTCTTGATATAGAGAGTATCCCGATTATAGATGTTTACGTAAAGCACTTACTACAAGAAGCTCCTCTCCAAACCTTTCCCTGTAGACCGTCTGAGGTTTCACTGTAGAATCAGGAGCTATAGGGGTATTGGTGTATTTGATCTTACCATCTTCATATACAACCAAACACTGAAAATTAAATTTATATTGAAAACGAACTGAACACGAACAGGGTATTGATGTGTATATTGTCGGTCATGCAGCCTTCTTTTCTAACCATCGCACTCAATACCTGTGTCTACCCGTTTGATTCGCAAGCTCATGCTCACTATTTCTTTTAACAAGAAGTTACTATTGTGACTCGTAGGTAGGAAAGAGTGACAGAATATGAAATATGTCATTAAGTCATAAAAGATACCCACAAATGATCAAAAGTAATTGTTTTTATGATTATAATTTACCTTCATTTTTGTACCTTCCATCTCTTTCTCGAATTCCTCATTAAGTTTGAACGTATCCACCTTATCTCGAATTCCTGTTTTCTGTTCTATGGTGATAGTATCTTCATTTACAGATATAACGGTTGTAGGTTTCGCCAGAGCTGCCATCTTCCGAATAAAGAAATTAACGCCTAAAAAGAAAGCAAAAGAATCTATAACTAATTGCATTTCATCAACTTTATATTCTTTGATATAAATGAAACCCCAAATCGACATAGCCGACGCATCAGTTTTAACGACACTTGAAACGGCTGTGCTGAAAACGACAGGAGCAGTTCTGGTCACAAAAATTCATACTTTAAGAGATAGAATAATGTCGATGTAAATGAGCGGCGTACCAGCTTACTTAGTACGCAATGTAAAAAAATATTAATTTTCTAGCGTTGAATTATTCTTTACTGAAGTTGGATTGTTTTAATTACAATAATAAGATAATGATAACCTGTTACAGCTGAATTTGAAGATTCTGGTTGAGAATTGTATTTTGTGTTTACAGTAATCTAGGATTCAGTCACTATATAAAAAGATATGTTTGTTGTGCAAAAGGTTACAACGGCTTTACAATTTTGTTAAGAATCAATCGATATCAGAAGAATGTTGGTAACAGCCGCTTTACCCTTTCTTTATTTTGAACTATTTTATTGATCAGCATCACCTCTGTGGAAATAACATACGGCACGGGGTTTCTTTCAAGAGATTGACTCCTATTTATCTCTAAAATAGACCGTTGTAAACTTAGAATAAGCTTCAACAAATGATCGGATTAACATTATTTAAATACAGCAGCGAGGTATAAATAGCTTTGTAAATAAGATCAACACGTGTTAAATTCACAAGTTGCGTATTATACGGAAAACATCAGAGAGAATAAAAGCAGGTCAAATATAAATGATAAAATTCCTAATTCTGCATGGTTTCGTCCTACACCATGTCTCTAACGTGTAAAACTTAAGATCGACATGGCCAAACTTCTTTATTATTCATTATTCTACATTTTAGATATACGAGCCAATTATTGATCTTTTAGGTACAGTCTTGGGCTAATTATCTCATAAAAAGACAAATAATCAAAAATTGGGACATATGTCATTCCGATAGGTATCTTATCATTCCCAAGTTCACAAATACCATTTCTGTCGATATGGTGCCTACAAAGAATGATTCGAATAAAATACAATGATATATTGATGATATTGCAAAATCTAAATGACATCCTATTCTTCATCAGTCGTATATCTTGATTTTTCCTACAACGAAACCAGCATGGGCAATTGTATGATAAGCGTAATGAATTCAATTTCCATATCGTGAATATACCATTTCTGGACAACAACATATATGCATCCCTCTTCTATGGTGGCTACATGTTGCAGTTGATTCGATATTCAAGGGCCTATGTTCCCAATATTCCGAAGTCGTCAACTGACGGACAAACTCCTAGCACAGGGGTTCAGTGATGAATGCTGATTGAAATTACGGGTTTTAAAGTCGTCATACTGATTTCATTGATCTATATTTCTTTGTTCGATATGACGTTGGTCGTATTTGATGCTCTTAATTGGCCTGTTGGTTCCGTTGTTGTATACCTTGTTTTCCTTTGAGAACGTGACATGAATTACTTGGATTGACCAGGATTTTATAAGGTGAGTATTGTCGATGAGGCGGTAAGCGTCTACACTTCCGGAACACCTGGTCTTATTCTCAGGAGTCACAATGCAAATGTTCTTGTTATTTTGCCCTAGTTTTATTGACAATGAGTTTTTATTTTCTAATGTTCAGATGATGATATTTTTCTTGTTGCTGATTAATAATTTATTTTTTGTTATTTACATTTTTCTAATGTAGGAGCATGCCATTACTTACTTTGATTGACCAAGATCTACATACCGGCTATCGTCGATAAAGTAGAAGACGCTTACTCTTCTAGAACACATTGTCTTCTTCACTTTCTACATGTACAAGGGTCTCTGTGTAAATCTTTCTTTTGTGAACATTTTGCATCATTTTAATCGAATTTGAGTCTGAATTAAGAATCATGTGACACGTCGGCATTTTCTAAGTTTGTTTCTGTACAAATATATGAAAACATGCTTCATAACCTGTTGAGAAATGTAGATATACTAACAGTGTATCACATTTAAGCGATGCTAACGATTCGCTTATAAACTAGATACACATCTAGCTTATATACATATATACATATATACATATATAAACTGGGCAAAGTTTACATTTCTCCCTATAACATATACAGAAGCCATGTCAGCAATCAGACACCATTACAAAATACAAATGATAACGAATTTTATATAACATTTCCTCGTCTATAACCTACCAACTTCCGCAAGAAATTCTTCGAAATTTTCGCTCCTAACCATCTTCCATGTTCCAGCAAACTTCTCCTTAATATCCTCCATCGTTTTATCAACAGTATATCACTGCCGTTCACACGTTTAATGTGTAAGTGTCTAAATCTGGTTGATGCACATTTATCAGGCGAATCACTGTACGGGACACCGATCTCGATAAAACCTCACATAATGATGTTAGGCATTCAGATTTGTATTTATTCGCTGTGTCAATGCAGTGAGGCATATTCGGAAACGATCGATTTTTATAAACATTTTATATACACATCTATATGGAGAATGTATACAACAGACAAAAACGGCACGATATTTTCATGTGATCGATATCAATTGTATCAAATATTTTCTATTTCTCTATTTAGAAGATTCGTGCTGTATTTCAAATATTATTTGTATTTCAGCGACCGATATTTACGTATTTAAGAAATACTGATTATTGTGTAAATCAAATAATGTCAGGTAATGATACTTCTTCATATTGTCACATATACCCAGGGCAATCATGATATTGACTTAATTGATGGTTATATCTTGTTAAAAAACATCTTTCATATTAAATGTCATTATTTACCCATAAATCAATGTTGGGTACAATAAAGTTTGAAATAATTCAATACTGAATATCATATGTATAGAATACAAACTCGTAACACAAGTTTTCAAAAGATGCAGGTTAATGAATTTTAGGGGGAAATTTTAAGGTCGTATGGTCTCATTGAGAAATATTATATTTGAAGCTGAACGTGTTTGATGCTCTTTAGTTTGCCTTTTGGCTACGTTGTTGTATACCGTGTTCTCATTTTGGAACGAGACAACCATCACTTACTTGGATTGATCACGATTTACAAACGGATGTCGGCGACGAAGCAAAGGTCGATTGCTATTCCGAAACATCTACTCTTATTAGTCAAAATGAATACTGCTCCATCAAATCGGCTTAAAAAACCGAAACTGTAGCACATTGTGAATTAACAGTGGTAGTCATACATCATCCGATTTCACAAGTAAAGGCGATATATTTGAGCTCCCGGAAGATATGTTTAAATCTTAATGTATTTGACAAGTATATGAGGGATCGATTCGATAATCCTCAATAATATGAGAGTATTAAAAATATAAAGGAATATCTGGAAAATCATATACCTCGATATGGGGCTCAGTATATGTAAAAATCCTATAGCTATAACCAAAACCCGAAGTCTTGAAAACCCATTGATGAAAGAATGTACAGTAAGCCTGCCAGCACAACACCCGTCGAAACATTTAAACATTCTAAAGTCTTTATTATACATGGTGAGATATTTCAGTCTGGAATATAATTACACAGAACATTCATTGTAACTTCTAAGATGACTCGAAACGCTATTATATATGCGATCAATCGCGTACTTCATGGCTATTTATAGGCGTTGAATTCTTCTTCATTTTCATTGAAATATTTTTAACAATTATCATGTTTAAAATATAAATGATAGAAACTTGAAAACATGGTATTAGCAAATATCATTATTGATACGCGTATCTCTTAATTTTGCCATGTTATGCTCTGTTTACTCGATACGCGCTTATCAACAATGTTAAGCAGCAATCTGAATCCTGATATACTGCAACAGGGTCACAATATAGGTTGTAAGCGGGACTTCTGATTTCATTTCACATATCGCTTCATCATAAAATGGCTCTGGATGAAATAAAGGAATCTTTGGCTGGAAAATGGAAAATGGACAGAAGCGAGAACTTCGAAGAGTTTTTGAAGGCAGTCGGTATGTTTTTGTTTTAGATTTGAATAATTAAGTATGAGAGGAAAATAGAGGGCTCTATACTCGAGAATATTTTAATGTATATAACACAATAGATCTTATCATATCAGGGCTTTGAAGTAAGTGCATGAATATTGATAAATGTGCCATCATATCATGTCATTTAACATTCGGAAGTGAAAAACAATCTCTGTTAACAGTTATTGATATTATACTTATTATAAGATAAAAGTTTGATCCATGAGTGTAAGCAGCTTACAATATCCTTCAAGTGATCTTTTCAGAGAATGGAAAGATCATTTTCATAATTAATTGTTGAACTGTTTGTTCTCTTAATGCTGTTCAGATATTAAAACTTAAAATTATTTGTCATAAGAACATGACATTCAACACAGTTTGTGCTAGAATTGACTGGTTTTTAATATCCAAATTTGTTTGCACAGTCGTCAAACATTATATGTAATTATTTACATTTACAAAGAAAAAAGACTGTATAGAAGACAAACACACATGAATAATACCTTTCGATAGGAATGAAGGTTAAATACTGTATAGTGAAATAATGAAAAGTCGAGATACAGTTATTCATTACACCAATAATGTATTATGGAAGATACGCTATAAGATAAAGGCAAATATCTGATGCGTTGGTACGGGAGCAAATAAATACACGTCCCACTTAATGACTTTAACGTGAGGTGAAGATCAGGTCCGCAGTTACACACATACAATGCACGAAAGTAGACAGTCAAAAGTTCAACATGTAACAGATACCATAATAGGTATTAACGTCTACATGTAGTATTACACTAGATGATATACATACGAAGTAACACTATATAAATCATATGTATAAGATCACAGACGCTTGATATGACCCAAATATTAGGAAGTAAAAGAGACATAGTACTTCAATAGTGAATCAAATGTAAAAAATCTTATTTGCAACAAACAGATTATCTACAAATCAAAGAAATGGAACATGTTCTAAATAAAAATACTTCAAGCACTGCTGAAACTGTGTTAATGTTTCCTACCAATACAATACGGTAGACGATAAACAACAATGCTCTGAGATCCTGAAGAGGTAAAAAATTATTAAATTTCAATTTAACATACATAAAGATCCAAAAAAGATTCGATAACAAAGTTGTAATATAAATAAATATATGACATGAAATAAGAGGCGTAGTATGTCAACACTGCAATTAACATATCAACAAGTGAAATGGAGGCTAGTGTCCCAAAAAAAGATGTGATGCAATACAATTTGCTAGACGTAAAAATAAGTTATGAAAGGAGATCCTCTTTATTTCCGATTTAAACAGTTGAAAAAAAACCCCCAAAAAACCCCCCCAAAAAACGGCGAGGTATGTGTCAGTGAATATAAAAGATATATATATTGTTTAAAACGCTATATTCTCTTACATTTATTCGACATTTACTAGAATATAACAATTTCAAGTTCCTAGATTTTAAAATCCGGCGAGAGTGAAAAAGTTCATTTCTAAAGTTAGACAATTACAATCGAACAAACTACGCACACATTTGAACAAAAATACATTTTCACAGTAGTTTCTCCTGCTTTCTTGGCTTCGAAGGTTAAAATGACGACATATTTGTAAAACTTAAATGTTCAATACCATGGAAACTGTAATAATATGATATCTATCTTTATTTCTACTAGGTATATTAGATATTCGATAAAGCAAAACATAGCCGAATCGACTTCTTTATATTTCTATCATATTGTATATTTTTTTGTATTGAATATTATTCTAAACTATCATCTACAGGTGTAAACTTGGTGCTTAGGAAGTTAGCGCCCCTAGCGAAGCCGACGATGACTATTTCTGTTGAAGGGGAGACAATCATCAGTATAACAGATATGGGAATAAGAAAGGAAGAGGATACTTTCAAACTAGGCGAGCCTTTCGAGAAAGAAAGAGAAGGCGAGATGTTGCGAGTAGGGATTTGATTTATATTTTCTCAAAACTAAAAATCTAAAATAATTTCTCATTTGTTTTAAAAACCCAATTAGTACTGTGATAGCAATCACTGATTAGATATAATTCGTACCTAGTCATCAGTGGAAATATTTTTTGAAAATGGAAGGATTCAAATATGTATTTGCAATCAACGAAGACGATGCCGATATGTCAACATAATCTTAATTCAGAGTCCAATTCGATTTAACTAGGAGAAATATAAACAATAGAGGAGAATAAGACCAGGGCTGTTTCAAAGTTCTGCATAAGACGCCTATTCTTCCAGAACAGGCATTATTTCGATAATGACTCTGGATTTTCAAGATGTTTTTCTGAACAAGTGAAAACAGGGCTGCATATTTTGCATGTTTAAGGGAAATTTTGCTTAACATTTTTTTATCTTTCTTTCGTTGACGATCACGATCGGATTTTAATCAATCTGTTTTCCTGATGAGGGAATTTTTGTGGAATAATGTTAATGGTTCTTATAAAAGCTGGTGGTGGTTGTGATGTGGATGAGGGCATAGGGGATGAAGAATTTTAAGATTATTGTAAAACGGGTTTGTTAACAGATTTGTACATCAATGTGCTGTAACTGTATTTTTGTGGTTAACTTTCCTCAGTGCTTTTCAGACTAAGAGAGTGCAATGCTGATTGCATTTACTCAAAGTTATTTGCAAAATTAATAGTTCGAACGTGAAAATTTATCAATAGTTCGTTTACAGTTTTCATGTCAAAGAACATTGACATTGTTTTCAGATATGTGCCACGTGGGAAGATGGTAAATTAAAGGTGACAGGTCAACCTTTAGACCCTAAATCCAAAATGAAGGCCCCAACAATATATAGGGAAAGAGTTGATGATGAAATGCTTCTGGTGAGTATGATATGTAGTTGTCTGAAAACTGCCATTTTCTGTTATTAACGCATTTAAATAGAAAACAAATTAATAAGGTGATCTGTTTCTACAACCAAATATCTAAAATTTGGGGGAAAAGGTGAGTTAAAAAACATTACATTGATACTGATAAATGTTTCAATGCTGATATATAACATTAAACTGATAAGTTCTTTCGAGAATGTAGAATACTAATGCCCTCTCTAGATGATACTATTGAATTATGTTAAGTAATCTGAATAATGTAACGTTAACGTTTTAAAGTGGCTAAATAGTTTTTAATTATCGAGGCTGAAGTAAAACAATACACCGAGAAAATTACCATGGCGGCAGAAACAAATTATCCTTTCCAGACTTCCAAGAAATAAATCTTCTGTTTCTTTTTTTGTTCAGTCGTTGTCACATGAATTGAACATACTGTTAGCAATGGATATATTTTCTTTTCGTTTCAGACTATGTGTGTCGGTGACGTAGTATGTAAACGATATTTCAAACGTTTAGAGTAGTCCAGAAATCAGCGATGAGAGAGGGAATGCCAATAGACCTTCTTATATTACGCCAAACACATCATTTCTGATCTAAGACTCGAATGTTGCGACTCTTCTAAAACAAATTTCTACATTTAATACTTTGTTTAGAAATGTTTATTAAATAATATTTGCTTACTTTGGCGTTTTTGCGTCATCCTTCCATATCATACGGACACGATTGTGTTGAAAAACAAATAATAAATAGATAATAAATATCTTTTAAGGTGAGTTTAACGGGATTAAGTTCTTTTCATTTCTTCCTTAATTAAAATACCAAAATGAATGCAGTAAGAAATAATCGCATAGCTACTGGTGTCAACTGACTCTTTCTCATTCAGAAACAAAAGGCCTAATTTTCGTTGTGTGGCTTTAGATCCCTCTGTCTTTTAATAATATTTTGCCCTCTTTGTCCGGTATTGAGTTCAAATCTGAATTTTGTTAATATGTCGGTACATTCTTGTCGTTATACCTGTTTTAACATTGCGATAATTCAATTTGGGGCAAAGCTTCCTTCTAATTCAGATGATAATTGCCATAAACATTAAGGTTATATATTCAAATACTAACAACATTTATCTAAAAATGAAATAGAGAAAAAACATACACGCAGACTAGATATTTTTATTTTTGTATTTTTATGTAAGGATAGTAATACAAATAAATCATTTTAAGGAATTTTAATCCCTTGCAAAAGTCGGGGTCATATAAGGACGAGTGTCAACATAGGAATCATTGGCGGTAACAAAACACAAAAAGGAGATAGGACAGAAAGGTCCCAATCATGCATTACGAGTAGTCGATATATTTTGGTCTCGTCTCTTCTCATGTCTGCCTGGGAGAGAACAAAAACCCGATTATGCGACAGATCCTATTTCTGGACTTTTCTATGTCCCCAACTTTTACAGTTATCCACCTTTTACGTTGTGCAGTGTGACAAACAGGTATATTTTTCACTCTCTGTCACCTGCATGGTTTATAGATAGACGTACAACAATACAGATCTTTCATAGACATTTGTGTAATCGAATCCTTAAGTTCTGTATAGAATCATCCGCCATCTTTGTAAGGCATCCGAGGAACATAAGTGATTGTATCTATGAGGTAAGTTTATATCATGTCTATATCTAGTATATAGCTGTCAAATATATGACATCATTGCGCTAACAATTGTACAAGAAGTGGGATAATAAAAAGAGGTGCAGGAGTCCAACGTCCTGTGAGTGGTACTAGTTGGTAGATGTATCGGTAGAAGAATCCTAGGTGGATCCGGAGGATTCTAGCAGAGCTCCATGGACGATAGGTACTAACCACTAAATAAAGGATGAAACATTTGTAACTGTACAAAAAGAAAATAGTAACAGACACCATCGTCGTCTTAAAGTCTGATTCACGTAAAGGCCATTCGATCGTGTTAGTTAATTACAAACATCCCATTCAAACGCACAAAGGCTGATTGTGATTTCCATCATGAAATATCTTTAATCATAAAATACACTGATTGAGAATATCATCATGAAATATCTTTCATCATATAACACACTGATTGAGAGTTCCATCATGAAATATTTTCCATCATATAACACACTGATTAAGGGTTCCATCATGAAATATCTTTACTGATACAATACATTAATTGTGAGTTCCATCATGAAATATCTGTAATCATACAAAACACTGAGTTCCATCATTGAAATATCTTAAATCATGCAATACGCTAATTGAAATTATAATATGCTGCCTGAAAGGTCCATTATGAAATATCTTTTTACTTTGTAAGTAATACAATCTTCATTCTATTGTTTTTGTGTTATCCTTTACTTTCAACAGTACGAGGAAAATGAAAACATCTTTTTCGAGCATTAGACCAAAAAGTGTAACTGGAGATTCTTATTGTTTACATGTATACCTTTAAAACCGGTTCGACAAGTACATAGGGTCACGATTCTCTGACGCACAACCACATATGTTTAACGGGTCTTTCAGGCATTACACGTATTTAAGTGTATACGTTTCCATTGTCGGCAAAGCACATATTCTTAAAAAGAAAATAACTAAAATATTCACCTCACACGATTGTTATCTACCTACGTAACAGCAAAATGAATTTAGTGTAAAGCCCACTCTTGTTATTTCTTGTACCTGTTATTTGTATTGTCCTGTGACTGTTAGTGTTAGATATATATGACCTATGTTATCCATACCGCCTATGAAAACGTATTTTTATATCGCCTATTTAAATGTAATTACATATCGCCCATGTGAATATATCTTTAAATTGCCCATGTAAATGTTACCATATATCGCCCAAGTAGATGCAGCTCTATAATGCCCATGTATATATAGATATATATGGCACATGTAAATGTAGCTCTTTATCGCCCAATTAAATGAAGCTCTATATCGGCCAAGTAAACGAAGTTCTATATTGCCCATGTAAACATAGCTCTAAATAGTCTATGTAAATATCCTCTATAAATGTAGTGCTTTACCGCCTTTGTAAATGTGATGCTTTATCGCCAATGTAAATGTGATGCTTTATCGCCTACGTAAATGTGGTGCTTTATCGCCTACGTAAATGTGGTGCTTTATCGCCTACGTAAATGTGGTGCTTTATCTTTTATGTAAATGTGGTGCTTTATCGCCTATATAAATGTGGTGCTGATCGCCTATATAAATGTAGTTCCATATTTCCAATGCAAATGTGGTGCTTTATCGCCTACGTAAATGTGGTGCTTTATCGCCTATATAAATGTGGTGCTGATCGCCTATATAAATGTAGTTCCATATTTCCAATGCAAATGTGGTGCTTTATCGCCTACGTAAATGTGGTGCTTTATCGCCTACGTAAATGTGATACTTTATCGCTTGTGTAAATGTGATGCTTTATCGCCTATGTAAATGTAGTTCCATATTTCCAATGCAAATGTGGTGCTTTACCACCCATGTAAATGTGGTGCTTTATCGCCTACGTAAACGTGGTGCTGATCGCCTGTATAAATGTAGTTCCATATTTCCAATGTAAATATGGTGCTTCATCGCCTATGTAAATGTAGTTTCATATTTCCAATGTAAATGTGGTGCTTTATCGCCTATGTAAATCTAGTTCCATATTTCCTATATAAATGTGATGCTTTATCGCCTTTGTAAATGTGATGCTTTATCGCCTTTGTAAATGTGATGCTTTATCGCTTATGTAAATGTGGTGCTTTATCGCCTATATAAATGTGGTGCTTTATCGCCTATGTAAATGTAGTTCCATATTTTCAATATAAATGTGGTGCTTTATCGCCTATATAAATGTGATGCTTTATCGCCTATGTAAATGTAGTTCCATATTTTCAATGTTAATGTGGTGCTTTATCGCCTTTATAAATGTGGTGCTTTATCGCCTATATAAATGTAGTTCCATATTTCCAAAATGTGGTGCTTTATCGCCTATATAAATGTGATGCTTTATCGCCTATATAAATGTGTTGCTTTATCGCCTACGTAAATGTATTTCCATAATTCAATATAAATGTGGTGATTTATCGCCTATATAAATGTAGTGCTTTATTGCCTATGAAAATGTAGTTCCATGTTTCCAATGTAAATGGTGTGCTTTATCGCCTTTATAAATGTGATGCTTTATCGCCTATATAAATGTTGTGCTTTATCGCCTGTGTAAATGTATTTCCATAATTTAATGTAAATGTGGTGATTTATCGCCTATATAAATGTGGTGCTTTATTGCCTATGTGAATGTAGTTCCATATTTCCAATGTAAATGTGGTGCTTTATCGCCTTTATAAATGTGGTGCTTTATCGCCTTTATAAATATGATGCTTTATCGCCTATGTAAATGTGGTGCTTTATCGCCTATGTAAAATGTAGTTCCATATTTCCAATGTAAATGTGTTGCTTTATCGCCTATATAAATGTGGTGTTTTATCGCCTTTATAAATGTAGTTCCATATTTCAATGTAAATGTGGTGCTTTATCGCCTGTATAAATGTGGTGCTTTATCGCCTATGTAAATGTAGTTCCATATTTCCATTGTAAATGTGGTGCTTTATCGCCTATATAAATGTGGTGTTTTATCGCCTATGTAAATGTAGTTCCATATTTCCAATGTAAATGTGGTGCTTTATCGCCTATGTAAATACAGTTCCATATTGCCTATGAAATGTTGTGCTTTATCGCTTATGAAAAAGTTATTCTACATTAAGGGCTCACAACATTTGGATTTTTTTAAAATTAAGTTACTTATAATGAAATGTGACCGGATTTATGAGCTCATTTTTTTCACATTTTTTTTAAATTTCACAGAAATTTGTTTTGATAATGTAACTAGTCGAACTAAACCCAGAATACAGATGTTTGTTATATTTAGAACAGTACAACAAAGCAAGGAAACTAACATGCCATTACACGTTATGTTGCACATGTCTGGGAGAACATCAATAAAGAACACGCGACTGGTGACCAGAACTAACACTATCTTCCTTGTCCTGTCTGTGACACACCAACAACTCCAAGTGATCCTATCCAACCTGTGGTTCCTGTCATTCATTTTTGCATTGGTTCAACACCAGCCACGTCTGATGGCAACGTCTGTGATACTTATTGTCGTGTGAAAAGTCAACACCAGCCGTGGCCTGGTGCTCAGGTTGTGAAGAGTTCCTCTGTGATCAATGCCGAGTGTATTACAGTCGGAACAAAGTATCAATAGACCATATAATTGTTACAAAATCCGATGCTGGGAATGTTATTAAAATCTTTATCGGTCGTCGAAGACTGTTCTAGCCACAAAGACAACCACTAGATGCCTACAGCTTTGATCAAAATACAAAGTGTCGTAGTTTTTGTGTGTCCCTGTCACACCGCAATAGCAACAATGTAAAACCGTTAAAAACAAATTTCACAGAATGACGGGGAAACATCTTCATGGAGAAGAATGGAGCGATATCGCAGAAGAGACAAAGACGATGGTGGATGAAGATGAATTAGTGGAATGGAATCTAAGTTCCAAAGAAAAACACAAAATCGGATAGCATGACACAATTGGATGAAATATTTCAATCGGATCTTAATCAAGAAATGTAATGCTTACAGAAAAATCGCTCTCTGCTCGAATGAAGCATACCAAAGTATTTCAAGCTAACGCCTATGACTGTAAAGTTTTGATGGCGACATTGGAAAAGCAAGCAGATCTTCACAAGATATTCATCGTTAGGAACAAACACAACTACATCTTCCGACATGTGGATCAATAAACAAAGAAGCTTGAAAACAGTTTTGAAAGTCATACTCAATGAGGCAAAGATTATCGACAACATTACGAAATTGAAATAATTGGGAGATACCAATGTAGTTACACAGTATTCTCCAAGACGTCCTTAGAAACCAAAACATGCATCAACACTATGTTGAAGTCCCTGGCTTTGACACCTTCTGCTGGATTAATTTCGGTGTAGGATTCCTTATCCAGTCCTGAGCATAGACCGGATTGGTATCTTTTATGAAGTTGGAAACGAAAAGTTCACTAAAGGGATTGAACACCCCTCTCCTGACAGGGATGGTCCGTTTCGACAGCGGTGAATTACAGAAATGACCGTCTTCTTCTGCTTGATGACACGTACTCCTGCCGGAAGGATTATTCAATTAGCACTCAACCGTCCGATGTCGCCCATGGGCTCACTGCAGACGAAACGGTCAACTGCATATCATCAACACCTATCGTAGGCCCAGGCAATATCTGTAGTATAGCTCTCTACAAGGACAAGATACTTACAGGAATAGGTACGTATATAGAGTTTCTGCTTATGGAAGGTGACGTTACCACGACAATCATGGAAATGGGGAAGGGCAACAATCCCACCGTAACGAAGACTGTTGTATACTACAAAATGGCCATGACATAGTATGTTGACAGGTAGATAATAGAAAAGAAATCACCAGATATATAACTATTCTGGTTTAAACGAACATAGGACAGGAATTCATAGTCACTTCATGGAAGGAGTCAATTTCATTCAAAGTGTACAGATCTAACGAACCATCATAAATACTTTATAGCAACAAATATTCGTTGGGGATTTAATTATTTAGTTCGTGTGTCAGAACAGTACCAAAAGTCAGAAAGATGATATCTCGCCTCGAAATTGAATGATAGGACAGTAATATTGTCAAATTTAATACTCAAAAATAAACATTATTTAACAGAAGTTAGGTTATGTGTATCATACCTCAGTATAAAGCTGTGAATTGTATTGAGGATTTGTGTCTTTGCGAAATTTAATCAAATGTATGGGACTATCACTATTTTGCACACGATTAAATTTTAGTTTGATTCGTGTATTGTAAATGAATAATATATAGAAGTCAGTAATATGTCCATAAAAGTGATAACAGAGTATTAAAATCGTCTGAAAAATGAAACATTATCGAAAATTGAATGTTTATCGTGTGACAATATAATTTGTAGTGATGAAATTATTCATTGTATGGGTGTGTCTATTATTTCAACCTTATTGAATACATTTTGATGATTTTTGTTGTCCTATCACAGACGGCGTTTGTGTGAATAACGTTAGAACAAGGACCTACGTCATACCCTCCTTTTCAAAGTCGTCCCACAAATGTTCGATTGGGGACAAATCTGGACTGTATGATGGCCAATCAAGGACTGGTATGTTGTTTAGAACCGGAAAATCATGATAAACCATAACAACACGGGACCTCGTGTTATTCTGTTGCAAAAGTTTCCTTGATGGAGGAGAGGAAGGCCGCGTGTGGTCTCAAGACCTGATCCCGATATGTTACTGCTGTAAGATTGCCATGAATAATCATAAGAGGTGTTTGCCTTGAAATATCCATGTCCATTCAATAACAGACCCTCCCCCGAATATGTTTCTTCCCATTACTCAATCGTCAGAATATCGCTCACCACGACGTTGGCGTTTTTCTGACCTGTAAAGCGTGAAGCAAGCGAGACTCGTGAACAGCACGCTGCTTCAATGGGCCAAACGGAATCGATTAAATGAATGTGCAAACAGTCACTACATTTGATGTTAGCATCGCATCTGCATACGTGGCGGACTTACAAAGGGAAATGATTCTCCCGCAACCGATTCTTTACCGTTCTTAGACACACTGGCCGACTATTAGACCGACAATTTAGTGTTCCCTTCGCCGTTGCTGTCGGAAATTGCTTACGGAGGTGCGAGAGTCGTATGTCTCTATCGACGTAACGACGTAACGCGCTGGAGCCTGCTACTGGGTCGGTCATCCTGTCTCCCTGAGGCGCCCATCTAAACGGGATATTGTCTCATGTACACCATAGTTTTGGGCTACATGACGTTGCGAATACCACTTCATTATCAGAGCAATAGAATTACCCCCATTGTCGGCAGAGTTTTATCTGAAGTATATTTTCACAGAGCACGGAGATAGCTCAGTGTCAAATTTAATGTTTGATGAAAACAATGTTTTAATTTTAATGAAATACTTCTAGCGAACTACTGATGACTACTTCTGCCAGTAAATTATCATGATGTTCTATGATGTCAATATAAATGTATTGCATTTACTGGGACAAAATTACACTGAATTATTGGATCTCAAAAACATACTTTTACAGGCATATACACAAAATCAAATTTTACATACACATGGAATACCATTCAAACTTTGATTACCGTCTTGGAGACCAACTTGCCAATTTTAAAGATAGAAAGTCAATGAAAACTTTGGGGAAGTTATTACACATGCCCTGTCGACTTATTGGTTCTTATTGGAAAATAATAAATATGTATGGTTCATCGAAACCTGATTTGTAGTGTGTTGATGATACACATCGTACTCTTAACACCTAGACACCGTAACACTTGGACTTATTCTCGTAAGTTTCCAGAGTCTCCATATAAATCTTTCTTTCGTTCATATTTGCTCAACATCGAATTTGGGTTTAAGTAAAGATTCTATTAACATGTTGGTATTTTCTGTATTGATTTTACATTATATCGGAACAAACGTTTTAGACATTCAACAAGATATCATGCAATACGGCAAAAACATGTACATAGATATTAATTAATTCTAGAGGAAAACGAAGACAAAGAAATCATAGTTCAATGTACATTATTATTTAATGGATAAGCTGCATTATCTTTTGTGACGTATTTGGTTCCGGCAAGTTCTTGAATTCTGCTGACGACAACTATTTGTTCAGTCCACACATCAACACAATGGTCATCAAGTTTAAAGACACAAGCTCTAAATAACGAGTTCAAGTTCAAAAGTTTTTGATCACTAAGTACATCAACCGCACACCACAATTTGATCCTGGGCCCTATGAGAGTGTCATCGATCACAGTTTATTGACTCATTTAATAAATCATTAGCACGGCGGACAAATTGGCAAGAAGGAACTTAAAACAATTGTTGTAAACGTGTGTTGCTTGTGTCCTTTATGTGGCCGTGCTGTAGGACGTCTTGCAAATGGTTAAAATGGTTAGGAAGATGGATACAACCATGATGTTTTGCTATTTATAATTTAATCAAGCCAGTCACGAATGTCACTGCTTCATGAAAAGAAGCCGTATCGCTGTCACGCATGCGCTAGATAACCATATCTACATATATTTTTCATTTGAAATAGATGATAACATGTTTGAAGCACTTACATGGGATCATTTTCATTTATTTTGTACACCTCCAAAGAAGTCGACTCCTTCAATGACGTCACCACAAACTCCAGTTTGGTAGGATGGACTACTATTCCATATGCTTTGGTGATATCAGACAATTTTGGAAGGATTTCCCTTCCTCGTGACAAATCAGGTGACAAAACAAAGATGTTTCCCGAACCCAGACCACATACGTATATATTGCCATCTCTATCCTGTCCCATACCTCTGGGTTCCCTCAGACAAGGATCTCTGTACCTTGCGATTTCTTTCCCATCCTCTAGCTGGGTACACACAATGTCATCAATATCTTTATGGTATACGGCAGCTTGTGAAACGGTAGGGTATGTAAATGATCCCATTTTCTTGAATGATCTAATCATATCTCCATTCACAGACATAACATCTACGCTTCGATCCGTTCCAGCACACATGTTCTGGCCGTGCACCGTAATGCCCCACGTTTGCATCGGGCTCTTAAAACTGTTTACTGTGGACAATTGACCATCACGTAATGTAAATCTAAATATTTTGTTGTCCACCACCGCGACAAATAAATCTTGATCTGAATGCCCAAGTGCTATGTCAGTAGGGTTCCCGTCGACAGCATGTTCATCTAGATATGAATATTTGTCATTGAACATTATGAGCCTTTTGTTGTAGAAATCCGTGACAATTAATTCTCCTTTGTCAGTAAAGACTCCTCCTGATAGGCATATTTCTTCCGTTTGTCCTAATGAAGCACTCTTTACTGTTGCCATAAGAGAGACCGATCCTTTCCACACTTCTAATTTTTCTTGTATTAACTCTACAGAAAGATGATGCAATGATCCTTCGACGTCGGAGCCGGAAACCGTGCACGCAAAGGATGAAGCTGATGGCGTTGATAGCAGTATCTCAAACATGTTGTTGACACACTTTCTGGAATCAAGTGAAACCTGTGAAGTTTTAGATGTCATGTTGATATCTGCTGCGGATGTCAGTTCCATCATGTTGTCAAAAACTGTTGGCATATTGACTGTAACTTCAAAACTATTTGGAAGTCTCCACGTGTGATGATCCACACGTTGGAAATGTGCTAACAGTTGTTGTTTTATTTGTTCTCTAGCGATGAATATATTGTGAAGATCTCCTCGCTTTTCTAACCGTGACATCAAAACTCTACAGTTATCGGCATTAGCCTGAAATGTTTTGATATGCTTCTGTCGGATAGATAGATATTGCTTGCAGTGGTTAAATTTCTGTCGAAGATCTGACTGAAATAATCCATTCAACTCATCAAGCTTGTTCTTAGCACGTTGCACCGCTTGTGATATTTTGTCAGATATCTCTTTTTCTTCCGAAGCTAGATTAACCATCTCTGATTCGTCTTCATTCAGCATCTTACTTAGTTCTTCTGCGATCTTCCCCCATTCTCCCTCATGATGTGGCTTTCCTGCCATGGCTTTACTTGAAACTTCTTTTATTGATTTGATATTATTGCAGTGTCTGTGATGAAGAGAGACACAAACCCCACAACACAATGATTTGTGATCGAGGCAAAAAACATCTATAATCTTTTCATCGTGATTGGAACACAAACCATTGATCGATAAGTCATGGAGATCAATAGCGCTGCATACCTCTGTCGCTGATACAAGTACATGTTTTGTCGACGTTCTGTTCTTTTTGTGTGCAATTCTACATTGTTTACATAGAAAATCTGGACAGTCAAAGCAAAAAACTTCAGCTGGATTTGCCTCATTCTCGCGACAACAAGCATCACAGACTTTGTCATCTGATGATGTAGCTGATGTGGAACCAATGAACAAACGATTGATAGGAAATGATAACGCCCAGGTATTCACAGGTTGGGTAGTATCACTTGGAGCTATTGGTGCATCACAGACAGGACAAGGAAAATAGAGTCTGTTCTCGTCAGTAGTCACGTGTTCGTTAATGATGTACTCCTTCAGACACGTGTAACAGAACGTGTGATGGCATGTCAGCTTCCTGGGGCGCTTGCATTGGTTGAGGCATAACAAACATTTGTATTCTGGACCTGGCTCAACTTCTGCCATTTCAGGATCTCTTAAATCATCAAATTGTCTTTGCTTCCTGTAAAATACACATAATTGAAAAGGTGTAATGATCAAAATACTTATTGTATATTCCGTTCTTTTATACCTGCTTATAAGACCTATACATTTTTTAATAATCAATCTAATTATTCCGATACCATATATGTATTTTAATGATATTTCCCACATACACTCTGTAACGTTGATATACAAGACAAATATGTGAACAAAATGAATTGTTGAATGTCTCCTCCTTCAGTGCCATGGGGGTACTTCGGACATTATACCGGTATTACTTTTTCGATTTTTTTTTTTATAATTTCATTTAATTAGGTCAAGTCATACAAGAAAATACAGGGAAAAGCATGTACATAAAGACAACATGAGTGCCCTTTTGTTTGGTTTGTTCCCAAGCATGATTATTCTACGACTGTTTACGTTAATAATAATATATGATCAATGAGGTGATACCGACGATACGAACAAGCGACCTGCCGCTTTATCAAGACACAAATATTACATAAATTACATCACATACATAGAACATAAAACAAATACAAAGTTATAGATCTAAATCGCGAGCGGTGGTGTAAATTTAGGTGTCTCGATAATCCCTTCGGTCGATGGACGCCTAAGGCCTTTTACAAAAGACAAAAAGTAAACATCCTTAGCTGTTGTATGGAAGGTGGTGATTAGAATGTCAAAAATGTTTTATATCAATCTCGGTATGTTTTGCACTCTAGACACTGAGATTATATGTGATCACATCGGAAACGATATTACAAGATTTCGAATTTTCTATTGCAATGATCTTAATTTAGTGAGGAGTGAGGCGCTATGCCTCTTACGAAAAGACTGCGTTCTTTAACAGAGGTAAGTTATCTGTCACATTTTATCTTAACAACGGTAGCTAGCCCCCATGAAAAATTATATAGCTTTCCAACATTTAAAACTGAATTAACTTTGTTAAAAATAGCCTGATTCAACAACTTTATTTCTCACTTGCTTATAATGGCCGCCTCTGTGCGGGATCTCTCTAGATTTGTCATTGTAACTTGACATTCCCGCTCATTTATTTTTGCTATGTTTACAAGCACAAATCTAGAGAGATTCCGCATAGTGACGGCCATTCCAAATAATAAAATAAGTGGAAGTAAGTGTACATAGTTTACAACATTTAATTGTTTTGATACATATGCACGTACACTGTAGGTAGAAAAATGTTTTATCTTTCCATCGACGTATAATTTATAAATATCGCGTTGTCATAAATTATCTAAAATATTGCTTGAACGCCGACCCTTGCAGGGGTCGCTAAAATTTCGCGTTTTTTTGTAAGGAAGAATACTCTAACTATTGACCGCGACCATGTCAAAAATAAAATCGTGGTGAGATAGTCAGAACCCTTCAGACTACTCTTGCCTTAATTAAGGGGTTAGGCCGATTACAGGTGGTTCACACCTCCTTTGTTTATATAATTATAAGCCAGTGCCCTAGTGTCTGGGTTGAGTGGGCTGACTGTAATATATTATATATCAATGTATGATAAGGACTTTTTACTTCGTTGTGACAGAATATAAAGAAATCAATTTGCATATAATATGACCAACAGAAAGTAGCAGTCACATGACAATTCTGATCCGGAAAGTCTCTAGCTAGTTATATACATGTATACGACAATGATTAAGGTTTCAAGTACACATGGCCACTTGAGCCAGAGGTGACGGTTTCCGGTTTGCGTAATGAAATACAAGTGTGAGTATAAACATTAGTAATACATTGTTGCGTGTGAACATATTGGATACAGAAAGTGTAATCTCATCAGAGTAAGAAATTTTATTGATTTAATAAAGTTTTACTGGTAACATTGACATAAGACCAATATTTCCTATTTTGTCGTGTACTCGGGTAGACATTTTTGAAACAGGTCACTGTTCAAACCCGACCCGTGTCCGGGAACTCATGACAGCCTAATTTTTTTAACCATCAATTTCTGTATAGCCCCATTTTTGAGAGATTTTTCTTGAAATCTTAACAGATTTTTATAATTGTGTAATATATTTTCTTTTCAGAAAAAGAGTAATGGTCCAAAGACAAGGCCACTTGATGACTTCATCATTGTAAATATACCAAAAAAAGGTATAGCATCTTTTGTATTGAAAATCCATTCAGAACAATTTAAAAGGATCATTAAATATATTGTCAGACATACAAAGAAAAGTGTTTAATATATATTTTATTTCTTTTTTATGCATTTCGATTTACTTCAAGAATGATTTTTTTGCTAAAACTACAGAATAGAAGAGTAGAGTAATGATTTACAACTGCACAAGGACTTGATGGTATTAATGATGTAGTAAATAAGAAATTTAACTGCGGATCCTAGTGCTTATAAATCTCACTTATAGTGTTCAGGACAGTACATTATTTATATATGTCACATCATCTGATTAATTCATTATACAATTCTGATTAATTTGTGTTAAACTTATATATTATGTATTCAGAATGAGATTTATTTGAGCTAGCATCAGTCATTAGATATTGTGTGTTAAGATTAAAGTTGACAAATTAAATATGCAGAATTTAATATCAAAATGTAATCTTTTCCCATAGGTAAAGGTGTGCTGGCAAAAAATATATACCAAAAGGGGACACTGTGCTGGAGTATTGTGGTGTCATAAGGACAGATGAACCACATCAAAGTGAGGATGACACATATATTTTTGAATGTGTCTTCAAAGGCAAACAGTACTGGTATGTAAGATAGCATCCTGGTTTATTGCATGGTGTCCTAATTTCAGCTGGGCATAGTTTGCAGGTAGACCATTGCATATTAAGAACAAAATCCATCCAAGTGCCCAACAGAACATTTACATAGGTAGTGCAGTTTTTTTTAAAGCAGCATTTTCAGGAAATTGGGAAAATTAAAAATTACTTATTAAAGCCAAAACAAAGTTTTTTTTTTCAAATTCTATGTTTTTATATTGGCCGAAAAAAATTCCTATGTTTTTATATTGACCGAGTACTCGTTCTGTAATCATTTCAAAGGTTTCTGAAAATAAATGGCCACATTATAGTTCCGTAATGTTAATTACAGGTAAACTTTCCTAGTTTTGAAATTTTTAAGAGATCCACATGCTCTTGTTTTTCTTTGTCTTTAATCAGTAATTTTCGTACTGCATGTTCCGTCTAGATTCCACCCCAGATCTTGTTTTTAGTCTCATCCCCGCATACAAAATGGTGGCACCCATGTTTTTGTTTTGTTTCACTTTGGGACGATAATTAAGCAAGTTAGTGTCACAACACACTGTTTTAACACGACAGAATTTGAGAATAGATTCTTATAATATAGTTTGCGTTGTTCAGTACAACTTGTATGGGCAAGGATCAGATAAATGGAAATAGTTACGGGCGTCACATATAAGACTTATTTCTCAATAAAAAATATATGAATATTTCATCACAAGAGTTATTTTAATTCAATTTTGACAGTGCATATAACTGAAATAACATGGTGTCAGCACCTGTTAAAATATTTGATTAATATATTAATATAAGGGTATTCAGAACCATGCATGTCAAAATCCTAAATTTTCAGTTTTGTGAAAATGAGCCAGAAAAGATGAAGCATAGGCATCAAATTTAAGATATTAAAGATAATAAATAAACCAAATAATTAAAGTAATCATCTGTTTTATCGTTTAAAAATATAAAGACAAAATGCTGTGATGGACGTAACTTGAAGGGTCAAACATGATGTCGCTAGATTTTTGGTTTTATTTTAGTGTGACCCAACGCAGCATAATCAGGAAAAAAATGACTACATAAATAGTATCAATTAACGAAGTGCAGAACGTTCTAGACATGTCAGAGTATATATTGAGCTAATTTGAAGTATTTTGCTTCCCCCGTGTGGAATTCGGTCAATTTTGTTACAGGCGTTCGGGTCCGGTAATTTACGGTTTCCGGATACTACATTGCGACACGATTTGCTGTTTCCATCTTTAGTGTGCCATTGTGTGTATAACGTCACCAAAAGTGGTGTACAGTCGGAAGATGGCTTCTGTGTGGGTGAGTATGTGCGAACGGTCAACATATTCTCAGTTGTTACGGGCATCACGTAATTTTATGAATGTGAATAGATGACGAACGGTACGATCAATGTATACAATTTTGAGTTGTGATTCAGTTTGACACTGTCACGCATTCATTCAGACGTTTTTTCGAAAATAAATGTAGAGCACAAGGAGTATGATGAACGATTTGCCGGTCGCCCGTAACATTTTGACAAGTTATGCATGAACGTATGTAACAGATTGACAGTTAGTCATGTCAATTGTTACGGGCGCACCATCGTCTTAAAATTTACAGCAGATTTTTTGTAACTGAGTTTCTTCGCATTACTTAACTTGAAACTATTATAACGAAATTAAACATTTGCAATTTTACACGAACAATCGTCGCCGCTGGGCCATATTTCACATACCTTGTGACGGACACATTACTTTGACATCAGTGAATGCTTTGGACGTAATATTTTTAAAGGTACATATTATTACTAACATTGCTGGAAAATAATTCAATAATTCAAAAGATAAGATATAAATAACAAATTTTGATAAAACACTAAAATAAGTACTTTACTCATTGTTAAAAAACATTTAAGATAAAAAAAAACCACATAAGTAACTGCTTTTTTGCTAAAATACTTACATATTTTTATTACATCTTATTCCAGATTTCTAACAGATGTGACATGAGCTGACCAAAGATGGCTGTACATGATGTGAAACGTTCAAAATAAAATTGATTGATTCGTAATTGTTTTAAATCTCTTTCTTTCTTTGTCACTTGCAATATCTGTGTCAGTTTGTTACCTCCAACCAAGCTTCAAGTTATCAACATGTCAATCTGTCAAAAGTTACGTCCATAAGGAAAAACAACCTAAAATGTTGAAATGTTTGAAAATTTGGCATTATTATAATTGAAAGCATTGCTTTAGTCTTGAAAATTATTGATTTTCATAAAAGAAATACAATACATTATGTTTCTTCTGAACTTGGATGCTTTAAATAATAATAAAAAAATGATGCATAATACTGTTACGTCCATCACATCAATAAAATAGGTGAAATGGTGCTTTTGGAAAATAGCTGCTTTACTTAAAAGAAACACTTGGATAATACTGCTCTATATTTTCTAAATGGCTAATAAAATCTTCAATATGTGGTGCTAAAAATGCCAAAAAACATTGATTTTAAATGTCAATGTTACGTCCATCACAGTTGTCCACTTAAACTTTATAGCATTTTATTTTCAATTGAAATGGACCAGTTATCTTTTATTTGCTTTTATTAAGAAGAAAAGGTTTCAAGCTTTATAAAAAGCCTAAAAAATAAGGTTTTCAACAACAATTAAAAAGTCGATGTGACGCCCGTAACTATTTCCATTTATCTGATCCTTGCCCGTATAGGTGTCGTATTTAAGTTGAATTCAGTTCGCGAATCATCTGCTTAATAGGCAGAATGCGGGTTCCGTTCAAACGTACTAATGATCTTGGGCTCACGTAAACGCTTGAACATCTAAGAAAAAAAAAACACAAAAACAAACACTTACGGTGCTTGGGCAGAAACTGGCAATTAGTAGGATATCAGAAATATTCACCGCCATCAATAAAGTCAGGTATCAATTGGGAATTTTACCATCAGTTTTGGGAAAATTTTACCTTTTTTTGGCAAGGGAAAGCCGCCTATATTCGGTGGTAAAAACGACCAATAAATCAGTGTTAAGTGGTGTATGAACTCAATCTAGCACCTCCTTAAATGACCCTGGCTGTCAATAGGACATAAAACAACAATAAACAACTAAAAAATTGTAGGAAAGAATTTTACAGGCTTTTCACCACTAGGGCTTATTTGCCCTTCACAGTAAGAGCTACGCTAATATTAGCACTTTGAGACATTTGGTTATATAAATTAGAAAAGGATGTTTACATATTTAACATATTTAATTATTGTGACCTTAAAAGTGGGTCAAGGTCATTTATACTTGTATTGTAAAACTTGACTACCAATGACATTCACATCTTACATACTACTAGTTCCAAATTATTCTAATGTTCTATCGACTCTTCATAAAGTTCTGGTATTGATGAATGTAAGAACTCTGTCCTGACAGAAATAAGGGACCGTGCCTTAGCTAGCATTATAAGGGTGACTATAATTATATCATAATATATGGAAATAATTTGTCGTGTTGACCAGCTTTAATTAGATCGGAGACCCTGGTGTCTACATTTTAGAGACCCCAATCAGGGTTTTTGCCAGGTATCTGTACCGGACCCATTCCCAATTTCAATCTGTATTTTCCCAATTTGAATTTGCTAACAGTTTTTACGAGTTTTGAGTCATTAGGCCTAATCATGTCAACTACACAAATGTACACACGTATATTGGTGAGCGTGCGCTGGGAAGTCAAATCATATCTGTGTTTAAATTGCACGTTGTATAAGGACTTGAATGCAAAGCGTTTACGGTACATTGACATGTTTTTTAATGGTATTGTCACATAATTCTAAATACTACACAAAAAAGATTTTGGGGAAGGATTCAAAGGATTTGGTGAAACTTACTAGTATTTTCCCAAAATTTATGAAATACCAATGATATTTTCCCAATTTGTGGAAAATGCCGATGATATTCTCCCAATTTTTGCTCAGGGTCCCTTTCCCAAAATAGCTGGCAAAAACCCTGCCAATGTGGCAATTTGACAGTGATTTCACTATACTACAACCTGTTGTAAGTCTTCATTTTAAATCAGTGATCTTCAGTAAATAATTAACACAAAAAAACTCTTGCTGTGTATTAATATTTTTCACTACCATATTTGTCCGCCAATAGGCCCATGCTCAGTAATAAGCCCACCCCCTTTTTTACCAACATTTGTGCATTAGGCGGGGGGGGGGGGATGTCCGGTAATAAGCTCATCCCCCACTTCCGACCTCAGTAGTAAAAAATCCATGTAATGTGCACACTTGTGTAATATGAGTACCCTCAACTTTGGGTCTAAAAATGCTAAAAAAATGCTTCTATTCGGGTAATGTGTGCATGATTTTCCTGTCAAAAACAATGTCCAACATACCTGGAACACTCACTCACTTGAGCATAAAATCTGTTTGTTCATGGTTTATCAGCGAAGTGGGATAATTTTACAAATAACATTTCTGATTTTCAGTAAATCTATAATGAGAAATCAAAACATGACAAAGTTTTAGCGGTATGCCAACTTTTTTTTACAGGTTAGATGCAACGCATGATGATGGATCACTAGGCCGTCTGATAAATGATGACAGGAAGCCAAACCTGAAACCAAAGATGGTTCCGATTTGTGGAGAGCCCCATATTTTCTTCTATGCCATCAGAGATATACATCCAAGGGAGGAATTGTTATACTGCTATGGAAATGGTCCATATCCCTGGAGAAATACTACAAATGTAAAGGACGCTCCAAATGATCTTGTATCCAGTATACAGAAGGATAGTATACCTGTGACAGAAACTGATGATACTGCTACATACAGTTCCAATGAACCAGCATCTGACATTTCTGTCTCAATGGTCAACATCCCTGCATCTGCAACTGATGCCAGCAAACCAGATAATGACTTTTGTTTTTGTTGTTCTAATAATGAGACGGATTCAATTTACGGAAATAATTTCATTTTTTCCCACAATTTTTGACATGTTTTGTTCTTATCTTTGTCAGATGGTAATACAGTGTAACTTGTCTAAACCGGCCCCTGTGTAAACCGGATCTCTCTGTATTCCAGCCAAAATGTTTGGTCCCAGCAATGGAAAATGTAAGCAATGTTGACCTCTACAAACCGGACACCTGGGTAAACCGGCCAAAAAGTTTGGTCCTGGTGACATCCGGTTTAGACAAGTTACACTGTATATTGCATCTGTTTGTGGTGCTTGTGTTCGATTTGAAAGAAATAATAATAAAAAATAAACCTCAATGATTTATCTCGCCTTTTGTGTTACTTAATACAGTATTGCCCCTAGGGGCTGATAAGAGGGACTATTGCCCCTAGGGGCTGATAACAGGGACAAAGGATCAAACTGAATGAAAGATTAAATTTACTATTTGATATCTTTTCACTGATAAACATTTGATTATAACATGGAGCAAAGTTGGTGAGAATTAAACGTGGAGCCAATTTACCAAAGGTCAATGTCACTGGGGGAAAGGTCAAGGTCAAATGTGGTATCTAGTCACTGATAAATGTTGTTTTCACATGATAAAGCAAAATTGACTGGAATCAAACGAGAAGTAAAATGACAAAAGGTCAAAGTCACTGGGCAAAGGTAAGAAAAATCCGCCCCTGGTCGCTGGGTTAGAGCAGAGACCTATATCACCATGGTTATATAGCTAGGTCTCTGGTTAGAAGTCTGTTTGATATCTCTCTTATTATGAAAACAAAATATCAATTATATGTATAAATACATCAGAACTCAGGTGACCATTAAGGCCCATGGACCTCTTCTATATAGTAAAAGAATTATGAACTTTTTACTTGGTCAAAATGCTGTTCTATTTGCTAGAAGAAAACATTAACAAAGGCGATTGGCTGCATAGAAAACGGATATTAACCGATGTATCTTTTTCTATGGATAGTCAATATGAACGTATTAGCCAAGTAATACATATATATGTATAGAACATGTATGTACAGTCACGTCCTCTTTTTGGAGGTTACACACGTCCTCTGTATGTGCACACACGTCCTCTGTATGTTCACACACGTCGTCTCTTTGTAGGTAACACGCGTCCTCTGTATGTACACACACGTCCTCTCTTTGGAGGTAACACACGTCCTCTGTATGTACACACACGCGTCCTCTGTATGTACACACACGCGTCCTCTTTTTGTATCTAAGACACATTTGTCCTCCCTTTGTCGCAAATGTCCTCTCTTTTCATTCATTTTCAAATGATAATAATGAAGCATTTAAATTACTTATGTTAAATGAAAATTATGTGGTGAGTATACCTTCCAAGCCCGTTGTTTGCAGTCATCAATTACTGTGATAATACCATTATATGTGAGTGCCCTTGGTTTACCTTTGGGAGCCAGGTCCTGACTTTGTATCAAATACGTGTAAGGGTGTGTGTATGTGTGTGAGAGAGAGAGAGAGAGAGAGAGAGAGAGAGAGAGAGAGAGAGAGAGAGAGAGAGAGAGAGAGAGAGAGAGAGAGAGAGAGAGGGGGGGGGGGGTGTATGTGTGTGTGAGAGAGAGAGAGAGAGAGAGAGAGAGAGAGAGAGAGAGAGAGAGAGAGAGGTGTATGTGTGTGTGTGTGTGTGAGAGAGAGAGAGAGAGAGAGAGAGAGAGAGAGTGTGTGTGTGTGTGTGTGTGTGTGTGATGGTGTTTGTGTGTGTGTGTGTATTATCAAACGTATCCGTCCTAGTCGTTGATGTTAGGTTTATCGTTACAGTAGTAAATTACAGCAGTGAGGTAAGACTTTACATATCTATTGATGCAGAGTCAGATTTTTCTTTTATATGTGTTCTGCTGACTGGCCAAAAACTTGTTTTAAGGATCTGAGTTCCAGTAAGGAAGTACCCAGTTATTACAGATATCATATCCGGATTATCCATCTTTGAGTGTTTTAATAAACAAATATCCATGTAATGCATACTTGAAGAACCATCATCGGTTTACGCGAATTTATTTCATTCTCGAAAAAGAATTTACGCTCGCGATAAGACGGACATTTCCATTTAAATTATTCAAAAGATCGATAAGGTATCATTGAAGATGTGAGGTATGTAGGTTCCATAACTATTCGGTTAGTGTATATTATGAAGATGATGTCACAGCCGCCATGCGCTGTAGTGTTTTTCATCAGATGATATACTTCCACTCATTAAGATAGCATTTAACTGGCGTTTATGTTGTAACGAGAGGTAGCCACAAGCAATAAAGAGCAGATTCTGTCCCAAAATGACGCTTGATGTTGAATGGACGTTCAACTTGGCAGACAAGGAAATGATTTCCCGATATTACGATATTCCATGTAGATGTATAGATCACGTTCAATGGCTCAATGATTGTACAAAAGACAAACAAATTAACAGCACATTTTAATGAAAGTATAGTTAGCTACAGTAGAGCCAAACAATGAATTAAACTACATCATACAGCTGTTTTGTCCTTCTAGGAATCGTCAGTGAGACTAAGGGCTTATATGTTAAAGCTGGCCACTGAGCAAAAATAAAAGTAGTCGAAAAAATAATCAATATCTAGACTAAGAGATGCACTAGTCCGGAAATTCTATAATGGTTGTAATTCTCTAAATTGATATTTTAAGAACAACGTAAATTACATGTATATCTTCCAAACCGTTCCATTATCAGTATGAATGAAAACATGACTTGCAGCTTACGGTAGACCTCGGGAACTAATAGTTCACCAGCTGTATTAGGTGACAAACGAAGGAATATTTTCTTTCCTTCGTTTTCGTTTTTATATTGTCATTTTATACGCAGTTATGCATTTTTCTAAATATTTTTATTATGAAATCGAAACTACTTAACTTATTTTGTTATTTAATTGCTCGTCTCGGCTTAAACTTGATATTTAAAGAACAAAACGGGAACTTATCCGTTTGAATAGAAAAAAAACAAAGGAAATGCTGATATGTCAACAGATTCAAACTGACATTCGACAAAACTAAGGGAAAATATGAACGAAGAAAATTTTGTGAGTTTGTCAGTTTTCAACAGATGAAGATGATTATTTAAAGATACCATTTATTTCTACCCTATTGGGTTATGTCTGTCAGATCTCATCTCTCAGCTCTTAGAAAGAGGATAATTTCCCCTCTTTTTACAATATTGAATCCTCTTTACTTCAGGACGCCTCAGGTCGAAACCAAGATATGCTTACATAGGAGAATAGGAAGGATTTTACACAATTTCCCAATCCTTCAGAACGGGGCCGAAACCCACCGTTTATAACTGTTGCTAGAAAAGACGACAAGGACCCTGGAATCACTACTATATATATAAACTTTCCCCACTGCCTCTGACCAAACAAGTATTGGTTCAAAACCCACATGGTTTTTTATGACTTGTGACTTTAAGGAAAAGGTGTCATCACTGATATTGTTGAAACGGCTAGAATTGTACACTTTTGTGAGCGTGGTTTAAGCGTAGTGAGGACAAATATTGAAATTTACACTTGTGAACGTTGCATAAACGTTACAACATTGGAACTTTGAATGCATTTACACAATATAAACAATCTAACGAAGAAATCTACACCCATTATCAACAAACAAACAAAAAAAAAATGCACGTATCACATCATTTTCGGCTTGATTGGTGAACCATATCAAGGTGCATCACAAAAGAAAACTATGTGTATGCGATATCTTCATGCAAACGGTAAACTGCACACATATATGCAGTAGAGATGATACCATTTTGTAAATAAATGGTGTTTCAGCAGAACCCAAGCATCTAATTCGGAACGACGGTGTATCAAATAGTGTTTCTAAATAAACTGATGACCTGATTTTTTATTTCACTGTTTTCGCTCTGTTAATCCTCGAGTACGAGTTAAATAAAAAGTTAGATTTATAACAGTTATCGAAACGTATCTCCAAATCCCACTATGTTTGTATTTTCGATCGGTGGTAATGTAATATTTGAAATGTAATTCAAACTTATGTTAAATAAAGTAGGTGACATTATCAGATTTGAATGCAATTTAAAGTAATGAATTGTGAAATTAAATAAACGGTGTAAGTGTGGGTGGGTGGGTTGTAGGGGTGGTGTGTGTTTATGTGTGTTATGTAATCTGATTTGAATGTAATTAAACCTGATGTTTAATAAAAAAAAAAAAGGTGGGGGGAGGGGGGGTTAAGTAATCAGATTGAAATGCAATTTAAAGCAATAAAAGGTGATGTTAAATAAATAAGGGGATGGGGGTGTAATGTGAGGGGAGGTGGAAGGAGGGGTAGGTTATGTAATCAGATTTGACTGTAATTAAACTTATGTTAAATAGGACGTAATCTCTGATGCAGTTCCTGCTGTCAAACAAATTTGATTTAAGAAATACAAAAGAACTGAAAACTACAAGTCAAGGACGTAAATAAGGCCTATAGTTGGTGTTCATCTACTTCCCGGTTGTGATTATTCCTTAATATATCAGTATCACAAAGGAAGGTGAAACAGATATAATTTAGATTTACTATTGATACAATGCATAAATGTTTTTTTTAAACTTACGTGTAGCAACAGATGACGTTCTGTCCATTCGAACGTTTTACAAGAAGGCGATGACCAATTGTGCATTCACAAAATGGCTGACTCTCTCCACGGTGTCGGCGAAATCAAGACGATGTCTTATATATAGATACTGATTGTGAGAAAGTGAAACACTTCCGCTACTGCGTAGTTCTTCCTTATACATCAGTAGGTAAACAGCGAGAAAAAGTGGTTATAGAATAAATATATGTAATAAATATTACGAGTTATAATTTTGAATAGAATATGTCGTAAATATCGTTAATCAATGATGGAAAATCCAGGTCTATAGTCAACAATGTCGACGATAGGAGAGTATTTTTAATTCAGCGGGAAATGTAGTAAAGATAGAAAAATATAAGTCAAATGATAATAATTATAATTAATTTAACTATTTAACAAGAGTACTAGCACAAAATAGATCACAACTAATAACGACTAAAA